TCTATGGCAAGACCTGAAAATAGTTGTCTAGCAATGAGCAACAACCAATTTGACAGAGCTTGAAGAATTTAGAAAAGAATAAATGGGCAAATGTTGCACAATCTGTCACGATCGTCTAAGGAGGAGGACCAAGGCGCAGCGTTGAAGGTGAACATATTTATTTAGAGAATGATCACACGATCAAAACAACAGACGATAACGTGATGTCTACGGTTTAACACAAACCAAATAACAACAAGAAACCACAATGAAAGAGTGCCAAACGGCTACCTAAGTATGACTCCCAATCAGAGACAACGAGCTACAGCCGTCTCCGATTGGGAGCCACCCTGGCCAACATAGAAAAGCAAAACTAGACCCACAACCTACAACACAAAACATAGAAACTAACACCCTGGCTCAACATACGAGAGTCCCCCGAGCCAGGGCATGACAGTACCCCCCCCTAAAGGCGCGGACTCCGACCGCGCCAACCAAACACAACAGGGGAGGGACCGGGTGGGCACTCCGCCTAGGCGGCGGATCCGGCTCCGGGCATGATCCCCACTCGCTCTCTAACCCCCCAAAGTACCCCTGGTCCGGTCTGGCCCTGCTGACCGGAGCTGGACTGCACCCTGGTGGAGCGGATTGCTCTCGCTCCGGCGTGAAGCAGCTGACCCGTGCCGAACCAGGCACCAGTGGAACAGGCACGGGCTGTGCCGGACTGACGACGCACACCACTGGCTTGGTGCGGGGAGCAGGGACGGCCCGAGCCGGGCTGACGAAACGCACCCCTGACTTGGTGCGGGGAGCAGGAGCGGGCCAAACCGGGCTGACGAAACGCACCACTGACTTGGTGCGGGGAGCAGGCACGGGCCGAGCCGGGCTGACGAAGCGCACCACTGACTTGGTGCGGGGAGCAGGAACGGGCCGAGCCGGGCTGACGAAGCGCACCACTGACTTGGTGCGGGGAGCAGGAACGGGCCGAGCCGGGCTGACGAAACGCACCACTGACTTGGTGCGGGGAGCAGGAACGGGCTGAGCCGGGCTGACGAAGCGCACCACTGACTTGGTGCGGGGAGCAGGGACGGGCCGAGCCGGGCTGACGAAGCGCACCACTGACTTGGTGCGGGGAGCAGGAACGGGCCGAGCCGGGCTGACGAAGCGCACCACTGACTTGGTGCGGGGAGCAGGAACAGGCCGGACCGTACTGGGGACACACACCACTGGTCCTACGCCGGGATCTGGAATGGGCCGGACCGGACTGGTAACACACCCCAGTACCTCTCGCCGTGCCTCTACACCTTCCACCCCCTCTTCGACCAGTGGCCCCCGTAACCTGGCGGCCTCCTCTGCCAACCCGCTGGGCCGCTCTGCCGCGGTCTCCTGCTGGCCCGTCGTCCACGGCGTTAGCCCCCCCCTAAAAATTTTCTGGGCTTCTCTCCTACCCGTGGACCAGGTCTCCATGTCCCTCGCCAGCCGTTCGCCCTTCTGCCACAATGTCAAGCCCCTCTCCTCCTCATCCGGCTTGACCCAGTCGAGGAGGCGAAGGAGATCTGTTAGAGATCTCCCTGGCGATGGCTCCTGGACACGCTGCTTGGTCACATCTTGGTGGTTTCTTCTGTCACGATCGTCTAAGGAGGAGGACCAAGGCGCAGCGTTGAAGGTGAACATATTTATTTAGAGAATGATCACACGATCAAAACAACAGACGATAACGTGATGTCTACGGTTTAACACAAACCAAATAAGAACAAGAAACCACAATGAAAGAGTGCCAAACGGCTACCTAAGTATGACTCCCAATCAGAGACAACGAGCTACAGCCGTCTCCGATTGGGAGCCACCCTGGCCAACATAGAAAAGCAAAACTAGACCCACAACCTACAACACAAAACATAGAAACTAACACCCTGGCTCAACATACGAGAGTCCCCCGAGCCAGGGCGTGACACAATCCAGGTGTGGAAAGCTCTTAGAGACTTACCCAAAAAGACTCACAGCTGTAATCACTGCCAAAGGTGCTTCTACAAAGTATTGACTCAGGGGCGTTAATACTTATGTAAATAAGATGTTTCTGTATTTCATTTTCAATAAATTTGGTAAATTTTCTAAAAATATGTTTTCACTTCGTCATTATGTGAATCGTGTGTAGATGGGTGAAATACAATTTGTTTTAATAAATTTTGAATTCAGGATGTAACACAAGGAAATGTGGAATAAGTCAAGGGATATGAATACTTTCTGACGGCACTGTATATTCTGAATACACACACACATTATAAAGACGGTGAATTCATGCATTAATCAACAGATAGGTTCTTGACCAATAATTCACACTAGTTGCCAAAACAAATATTATGGGGAAAATGTTAGCAGTAGCCTACATTGTGTATGGAAGACAAAATAAAACAAGGCAACAGTAAACATGTCATCCCCCATGAATGATGCAGCACCCCCCTTGGGCCAATCAGTGTAATTTTGTAGATAACGGATCTTCAAGGCATGACGCATCATTCACCCAAGTTTCGTCAAAATCGGGCCAGTGGTGTTTGAGATATCATGTGTGACAAATGTACGTACAGTTGATTAATATAGCGTCCCCCAAGGGCCAATCAGTGTAATTTTGTAAACGGCAGATCTCTATGTCAAGACGCATCATTCACCAAAGTTTAGTCAAAATCGGGCGACTGCTGTCTGAGATGTCACGTGTGATGAACGAACAAACATACAAACGTACTATACTGATGGAGACAGATCCACAGTCCCCTTCCAGATTTCATTATGGGGGACAACTATCCAAGAAAACTAGAATAAAATATCTTTACATTCTAGAACAGGGATGGGCAATTCTGACCAGTTTCCCAGTCCTTGCCGATGAAAAACATCCCCCACAGCATGATGCTGCGACCACCATGCTTCACTGTGGGGATGGTGTTCTTGGAGTGATGAGAGGTGTTGGGTTTGCGCCAGACATAGCGTTTTCCTTGATGGACAAAAAGCTCAATTTTAGTCTAATCTGACCAGAGTAACTTCTTCCATATGTTTGAGGAGTCTCCCACATGCCTTTTGGCGAACACCAAACGTGTTTGCTTATTTTTTTCTTTAAGCAATGGCTTTTTTCTGGCCACTCTTCCGTAAAGCCCAGCTCTGTGGAGTGTACGGCTTAAAGTGGTCCTATGGACAGATACTCCAATCTCCGCTGTGGAGCTTTGCAGCTCCTTCAGGGTTATCTTTGGTCTCTTTGTTGCCTCTCTGATTAATGCCCCCCTTACCTGGTCTGTGAGTTTTGGTGGGTGGCCCTCTCTTGGCAGGTTTGTTGTGGTGCCATATTCTTTCCATTTTTTAATAATGGTTTTAATGGTGCTCTGTGGGATGTTCAAAGTTTCTGATATTTTTTTACAACCCAACCCTGATCTGTACTTCTCCACAACTTTGTCACTGACCTGTTTGGAGAGCTCCTTGGTCTTTATGGTGCCGCTTGCTTGGTGGTGCCCCTTGCTTAGTGGTGTTGCAGACTCTGGGGCCTTTCAGAACAGGTGTATATATACTGAGATCATGTGACAGATCATGTGACACTTAGATTGCACACAGGTGGCCTTTATTTAACTAATTATATGACTTCTGAAGGTAATTGGTTGCACCAAATCTTATTTAGGGGTTCATAGCAAAGGGGGTGAATACATATGCACGCACCACACATTTTTTGAAACAAGTTATTTTTTTCATTTCACTTCACCAATTTGGACTATTTTGTGTATGTCCATTACATGAAATCCAAATAAAAATCCATTTAAATTACAGGTTGTAATGGAACAAAATAGGAAAAACGCTAAGGGGGATGAATACTTCAGCTGTAAAACTGCACATTCTTTCGCTCTGCCCCATGACAAAATTAGTAGAATTGCATGAAATGTGTTATAAATTTGCAAAATGTTATCTCCGCCCCATGGCAAAATGTGTAGAATTGCAGAATATTTTTTTTTACTGCACAAATAGATTGATTGCACACATCAGTTTGACTGCATGTGTGTATGGATGTGGGTACGCAAACCCGCACTGTGGGCACTGATTTTTTTGTGGGCCCCACCCCCATCAAAGTTGCCCATCCCTGTTCTAGAACAAGAGTTCACAAAATTGTATTTTGCAGTCAAACATGTTAATGTGAAACAAATTAACATTAATAAACAACTTATTTCATACACCCTCTATCATTATATATCTAAAAGGACTTCTTGAAGGACAGTAATATTTTTTACAATAAAAAACACTTTTTAAACTAAAGATAATGAAATCTAAAATAATATGTCTGTTACAAAATCATGGAAGTACATTATAACATTTAAAATCTTGCCTCCAGTAGATTACATCTCTTAGCTTATTCAACATCCCATAGATGTTTACAATAATAAAACTAAGGATGTCCGTAATATTTCTTAAACCAAGATTAACGTTAATCAAATTAAAACTCTACATTAAACAATAATATTTTTGTTTCAGTTTAGTCCGTTTTCTGTACCTGTCACCTCACACATTTTTGGTACAAAAAAATAAAGACTCAAAATGAACTTACGAATTGTTGCACAGACATGGCATGATTCATAAAGTTGAGAATTGTATATTTATACCTTTGCTATTCAAATTAGATTATATTCAAATTCATACCACCCTCAGTTGTTCATAGAAATTGATAACAGGAATGTTTAACTATTGGATAACACTGGCCCCACAGTGTATATTGACAGGGCATTGTAGGGCATTTAAAAATGGCGGCTAATGAACACCTCAACATGATGGTGGGGTCCCTTGGGCATTAGGGGCCATATTAAGATCCAAAATGTCACCCAATTCCCTATATAGTGCACTACGTTTGACCAGGGCCCCAGTGCACACTACTGTATAGGGAATAGAGTGCTATTTCAGACACAGCCCCGGATCTTTATCAGAATGACCTCTTTGTGAGAAACAGTGGCTGATGATGAAATGCATTACTCTGGCGCTGCAGGTGTTGCTGTTCTTGCTCATTCATAGCCCACACCATTGGCTTGTATGCCCCATTTAGGTTTGAAACCTTTCAACTGTTCGACAAAGCCTGGGTTTGGGCATGTGGCTGGCCGGGCTGATTTCACCAAGGCAAATGCATCATCAAAAGGCTTCCCTTCCCTGGACATCAGGTATCCAATGACAACCGAGGCAGACCTTGAGGCTCCGGAATTGCAGTGAACCAACACAACTCCTTTCTGAGGGGGAAGAAGAGGGAAACAAGCCTTATGTCAGTAGAATGAAGGCGTACCCAAATGCACTTCATCCCAGTTTGAAGAAAAAAGGGAATTAATAGCTCAACTGAGGGACTTAATAATCCCCACAAAAAGCATTCTTTATCCCAGGAAACCTTTTGAAGTGTCCTGGGGTAAGGAATTTTTATTATATTTTTTATAAAGCCTTATGTCAGTTTAGTGCTATCCAGTTCAAATGCATGAGATATGAGGTGCTTGGCTGCTTTAAATATTAATCCCATGTCTTCAATTCACACAGACCCAGTAACACAAGATCAATTACATCCTCCTGCACTTCATGGTAATCTAATAAAATATTATTATGCTAATCACGCACAATGGCACAATTACAAGCTGTAAGGTGATAGAATGATTCTCCCAGTCAGCTAAGCATCATTGATGGTTTGATTAGCCAAGTTGGAGTTACCCCTGCATGGTATCACATGTTACATAGGGAAATAAAAGAGCCACTAGCCACTAACCTCCATTCAACGGAGAGTATAAACTTTTTTCCACTAGGTCATTGTAATCATAAGCCTTTGGTGAATTTCCAACATGTGGCAGTGTCAGGTTGTTGGGTGACCAGCACAGCAATTTGCTAAAAGGTTGTATAGCAAACAAAGGGCCTCTAGATATATGATCTTTCTACAACAGGATAAATTATGCATAGTGAAAAATCTGCCATGTATTATTCACTACACAGTGTGGATACCTAGAGGTAGTGAGGGAGGCTTTCATTGGCTCACTGCTGTCCAGTATCAGATATAGGACAGGTAATAAACATCAACACTCAAGGAAATTACTAAAGTAAAGTTAAACAAAGTAGCTTAATGTAAAGTAAAGTCATTTTACCTATGTGCTGTACACAGTAGAGTGCTTATCAATAATACAAGTTATCAAGTGGAAAAGCCTTGTGTCACCATTCATGATGCTTAGGAATGTTTATACTGTCAGGTAAGATGAATGCAGTGAAAGACACGGTATTAAAGCATAAAAATAAAATATGAAAAGAAGAAAAGCCCCCAATTACCCTACATTAGCCTACAAGGTTGTGAAAACATTCACAACTTACCTCTGTATTTGCTTGGTCTATGAATTTTGAGCACTCTTGGAAATAGGATGTTATGTCAGTATTAGGCACATCCAGAATGCTCAGGGTTTTATAAATGAACAGGTCTGGAAAGGCGTTTTCAACACCATAGGCTACATTCAATATGTGGGACACCTGAAATGGAAGAAGAACATTTATGAAACGCCAAAACAAATCAGAAGTAGACAGAAAGGTGTTAAGTATAAAATGTGTCTCTATAACATAAAACAATACCTTATATTTTCTCAAAATGCCAAAGTCATGTGCAGCATCTTGTGAGCCTACAACAATAATAAACAATCATCAAATTGTGAGCCTGTGAGGAATTGTTAAATGTAAATATAACTGAGCCTAGGGAATTGTCAGATATGTTTATAATGATTTACTACAGTAATGATACTGTAAAAGTTTTTTTCTTGCAAAAGCATGAGTTTAAACTGTCTGTAGGGAAAATTAAATTTGTTTACATGCAATAATCCAGTGGACTCAGAGTCACAGCGGCAACAAACTTAAAACCCCCATATATTCTAGTGATACCTCTGTGTGTCTGTGTAGGCACCTGTCAATTGTATTATGACAGCTAAGTGTCCCCTGTCAATAACACACATCTCATTCACTCACCTAATATTAAATAAGGTTTAATAACTCCAACTTGTAAGTCCCAGCTGTTGTCCTGTACGTAGCCGCATGCTGTCTCAGGCTGAGTTTTATCCTCTACAACATGAATAGTCGACCCTTTCCATGTCTCAATAATCCTCCTGCCACTCAATGTTGTCACACGGGTGCATTGCTTTCTCAAATTGGTCTTGGAAAATGTCTTTATTTCCTGGGCAAGAGACTGCATCACATTTGTCTTCTCAAAACAAAACAAAGAATAAAAAAAGTATCCACTTTTAGATTGGCAGGCTACTCCCTTGGATGTACTGTGAACAGTGCCTAGCGCCTGGTTCAAATGGACTCCTTCATGTTTTCTGGCCAGGTTTTGTCAACCCCAATTTGAAAATTGAGAACTCATATCAGTCAATCAGTCTATATCAGTCAATCAGCCCATATCAGTCAATCAGCCCATATCAGTCAATCAACTCATATCAGTCAATCAACTCATATGGGTCCCTGGGCTTTTTTTCTAGGCATCACTATCACATGATGCCATTCTGAAGCCTGTGAATGTGTGTGTGTGTGTGTGTGTGTGTGTGTGTGTGTGTGTGTGTGTGTGTGTTCAGTTGGCTGGTGCAGTGGTATATTATTTCAAAGTCTACTTTACATGCTGTCATCATAATTTTCCAACACAACCGAGACACCATTGAATCGAGGATTGACCTAAAGGGCTTGCCCATATGACATTTTACACATGCACATTATTTTGTGTTTAAATAATGTATTCTACAACAGGTGGGTCAAAACAAGCATTGTGATTGGTTGAGACGCGTTCTACGCAAGTCTTAAAAACCCGTTTAGCGCAAGTATTTTCTTGATACCATGGCAAATGACAAGTATTTAAGAATATAATATAATTAAATGTCATACTAATGATAATGAACACCGCAAGGAATGCATAGTGGAATGCATGCTGGTCCTCTGTAGCTCAGCTGGTAGAGCATTGCAACGCCAGGATAGTGGATTAGATTCCTGGGACCTACCATAAGTAAAAATGTATGCACGCATGACTGGCCCAAAAAATTATTATAATAAAAATATATAATTTATAACTATTTCGTCGTGGGTGTAACGTGGGTGCAGCCTACATATAAATAGTCCATTCCGTCCCTAGCTGGTCACGTGACGTGCCTTTGGATTGCAGGAAACAGCCTCGTTTTCGTCAGATAGGACAACACCTAGTAAAAACCGAGTTAGCGACGGGAGAGAGGAGTGGGGCTTGGCGAAACCGCTCAACCCACAGAATGGGCGAATTGTAACATATTAACGCTAGAGTGTCACTATTTTCACGACAAACAAAACGCGGTGGAAATTCTACAACGATTATTTTACAAGATTCAGTAGCTATGTCGGCAACATTGTCGCGCGGCTCGCTCCAACCGGGCCAGCAAAAGCTGGCGGAGAAATTTACCATTCTGAATGACAGGGGCATCGGGATGCTCACTCGAGTCTATAATATCAAGAAGGTAAGGTACCCACTGTAATTCTTAGGTTCATAGTAAATTGTAACTACATTCAAGAGAAATGAAAGATCAAACCCCACAATTATCTGTGATGTATGGCAGAAACCTTCATTTGAAATCCAAAGGATGACGGCTAGGGCTGCAGAATTCCAGTCAAGGCCCTGTTGAAATGTGTTGCAGTATAAGCTAGTTATGTGGCTAGCCAAGCCCTGTCATCAGTAGGCCAAATTACGGTTTTCTGAGATTTGTCTATTTCAATCTTCGTATAACAATAATAAAAACTCATAGGCCATTGAAAGCTGTTGCTCACTGCCTTTGAAAGAAAATAGTATCTCACTGAAATAGCCTAATGTAGTTACATGCCTAGCTATACAATCATTTTTGTGCTTGATGGCTAGCTAGTTATATAGTTTCTCCTGCATAAATCACCACATTGCTAATATAATATTCAAACAAATTAAGAATAGAATGCTTTTCTGGATTCCTGAGCTATTGGTGAGATTGAAATCAGAGATCAATCAATATAATGGGAACACATAATCTGTCGGATTAGTAGATACTAGAGTAATAACATTAACACTATCTGACAGAGACACTAGGCCTATATTTTCTGACAACAATCAGTTGTTGATGTAGACTATTTTTATTCAACCGTCACAACACCCAGTAGGCCTAAACACTCACTAAACACCCAACACAAATCAACACATCCGTGGGCAAATTGCACATCATGACTGTAGGATACTAACCAATGGCATGGCAGTATCTACAGTTGTAGTACATGTATTGGATATGGTTGTTACACAGTTCTTGTAGAGTTGTTATTTAATTGAATGCCTGATGCACAGCAACACAAAGGTCCTGTTTTAAAAATCACACAATAAAACACATGTTCGCAGGATAGAAGGGAGAAAGAAAGCACTATTTTAGAGATTATAATGATTTGTTTATTACACTTGTGAAAGTGGTGACATTATGATACAGATTCCACACTAGGGCCAGTTTCCCGGACGTAAATTAAGTTTAGTCCTGGACTAAAAAAACATGTTAAATGAATGTGCTTTTTAGTCCAGGGCTCTTCAGACTAGACTCTTCATCTGTGTCTGGGAAATTGGCCCATGATGTTTAATTTACTCATTGTAAACTCCTAGAGAGAAGACCATTCTTAGTAGTAGTATTCCTAGTTTAATACTGTTCACTATTCATTATTACTTATTCATAGTAGGGACTGGGGAGGTGTCATAAAAGGCAGATTCCATACTGGACGTTTCAGTCAGTGAAACAGAAAAGAGCATTCTTAGTGTAGCTGTCCATGTTAATGGCCTTGATACAGTGACAGTCAGTCCTTTAATGAGGAGAGAGTACTGTGACTGTGTTTCAAATCGCAACCTATTCCTATGCTCTGGTCAAAAGAGGTGCACTGTATAGGGAATAGGGTGCCATTTGGGACACAGACTGGGTATCAGAGATGCTTGGACGACTTTGGGAAAATGGCAGCAGATAGAAGATAGCTGGAGGCAGTCCAGCGTGTAGCTGAAAGGAGGCTGGTGGAGAATAATGCCTCTCTGCCTTGCTTGTCTGTCTGCCAGCCAATCAACCCTTGTGCTGCCGGCCTAGTAGGCCTAGCCTTTTATAGGCACCACAGAATCATCTCTGTGTCTCGCTCTCTCTAAACTCTCAATTGAAGTTAGATGGTGATACAGAACATTAGCATAAAAACATTATGCAGCCCAAGTAAGATACAGGATTCAGAAGGGGAAAACAACTTTCCCCAGGACACAAGATGACTATCATGATGACCTATAAGATACAGGATTGTCACAATACACAAGAGCTGAGTTGTCTGCCGATGTGTCACTCTGTAGCAGTTTTGCAGACAATTTGTCAGTAAAATTAGGCCATTTATAAACCTCAATTGTCATGCTCAGCATGACACAATACATGCCATGTCATTTATATTCATGGTACATGTCTTGTTATTGGGAAAATATACTGTACTTTATTGAAACTGTGGCGGCGTTCAATGCTTGTGCGTTGAACTAGCAGATCTGTTGCTTGGCAACTGGTAGGCATAGATACTAGCTGACAGCACTTATGAAGAATTTCAGATGGCTTTTTTGTTTCAGCTGTGATTGTAGGCTGCGGCACAGGCCTACCTCAGTAAATCAAAACTGTAGGCTTCTGCACAGGCCTAAGGCACACAGGCTTATCATAGGCCTACTGCTCACGTCTACTGCGCATTCCTACTGCACACGCCTACTACTACCACTGGTCTACCCCAGTAAAGCACATTACTGTAGCCTACTGCACAAGTCTACTAGGACTACCTCGGTAAATCAAACAGCTTAGACTAGCAGCTTTATCAAACACAATTAAACGGAGCGTTCATCCAAAATGGAGATCTATTTCATTCTCATTTTGTTGATACCCACTCATCAAGTAACATGTGAATCTGAAGTTTCAGTGGCCAACAATATGGGATTATGTACGAAGAACAGCTTATAGTTTAGCATTAGAATTGTTGACAGCAAAACAATGGGACCCCTGATATGACAGCTGGCTGCATGTGGGACACCACTGTCTGGGCCAGCAGTATTGCTTTTTATATTGCTTACACCAGAGGTTCTCAAAGTGGGGTCCGTGTTACTGCAGGGTTCCGCGGCCAGATCTCAATATTTGTTATATATTTATTTATTTGACACCAAAAAAAATCTAATGAATATCACTAACAACAACAGATTAGCCAAGGGATCCGGGAATAAGTTTAGAGGGTGTAATTCAATATCATATTATTCATTTACAGTTCATGTTCTTAACCCTGGACAACATGGGCCTTGGAGGCTCAGCTGGATATTGGTATCCACTACTCCACCAATTATACATGTTTCAACTCAATGCTTCTTGTATTCCCACCCATTTTTTTTTTTTTACATGAATGCACTGTAATTTAAGATGTAAAACTGCACAGTTTTTCCTCATGGTAAAATGTGTAGAATTGCAGGATATTAGCTTTAAAGCTGCAACAACAACAAAAATATCTGCCCCATGACAAAATGTGTAGAATTGCAGGAAATTAGTTTAACAAGTTTATTTTTTTCTCTCCAATGCCAAGAGGTGGGCCTATAAAATGTTCCTTCCCAGGGCCTGAGATTTGCACTGCTGACATTTTAGTAGATATCTTAGTATGCTATTTTTATCTAACTCAAGTTGTGTTCTGATCATGAGGGGGTCCCTGATAAATTTTCTATCACAAAAGGGGTCCCTGGCCCCAAAGAGTTTGAGAACCCCTTAAACAACTGCCTGGCTTTTCATAATAAAATATCTCTGATGATATATCTGTCGTCTCACAATAATGTTTATGTAGTGTGTCAGTGTCACAGAGTGCAATATTTGTTTTAAAAGTGAGTTACAGGTATAATGCATTACGATGCAGTTTTAGTACATTGTAAGACTTGTCATAAGCATGTATGACCCCCTTATAATGCAATGTTGCAATTTATATGTTCTGAAAAATATGCTACTGGCTGAAGAATGTAGCCTTTCAAATGTAGGTTTTCAAATTGCTAAAAATAACCATGTTTGTGGAGAGGGGAGAGCTTCTTATGACGTCATATAATTGAAGGTGTATCGCATTAGTGGAAACTCCTGCTGTTCTCATGGCAAGCCTGCTGGTTTTCACTAGCAGAAGTGACTTTTCGTAGCAGGTTAGGAGAACTTATGCAGCAGGTTAGGATAATTAACATGGCAGGGTTAGCTAAAACGCTAAAATTGTCCTCGACTCGAACATACAGTTGCGGCCAAATATATTGGCACCCTTGTACTTTTCTTAAATAATTCCCTATTTCAATAAATTTAAAACAGCTTTTGTCCTTCAACATTGCAGAACCAATTTTATTTTTGTAAACTTAAGTTTACAATTTTTATTTAGAAAATAAAGACTAATGGCATGGACAAAATTATTGGCACCCCGGTGCTAGTACTTGGTTGGACAGCCTTTGGCCAAGATAATTTCCAACAAATACTTCTTGTAGCCATCAATGAGCTTGCTGCACCTTTTCTACTGACAATTTGGCCCACTCTTCAGCATAAACTGCTCTAATTCTTCAATGTTTGAGGGGGGCCCTCCACCAACTGCTGTTTTCAGATCTCGCCATAGGTTTTGGATGTGATTCAGATTCAGACCACTCCAGAACAGTCCAGCATCTCTTCTTGAAACATTCCAGGGTGCTTTTTATGTGTGTTTGGGGTTGTTGTCCTGCTGGAAGACCCACAACCTTAAACAGAGACACAGTTTTGGGACACTGGGTTGAACATTGGATAGCAGTACAGCAGAAAAAAACATAAATCATCATCCATCCATATGTCAATAACCAGATCAAGACTTTATCAGAACACTGATGTAGTGAGTGCTGTAGCTTAGTGAGTAAGAGCGTTGTGCCAGTAACCGAAAGGTTGCTGGTTCTAATCCCCGAGCCGACTAGGTGAAAAATCTGTCGACGTGTCCTTAAGCAAGGCACTTAACCCTAATTGCTCCTGTAAGTCGCTCTGGATAAGAGCGTCTGCTAAATGACTAAAATGTAAATGTGAAATGTAAAATGTCTGTAGGAATTCAGTCAGCTCCTTGCTGTTGTATGTTTCAGTCAGAGTCCTGATAGACTGAGAGTCCTATCAGGGGGAGAGGTCCAAGATGAGGTCAGAGCAAGGGTCTCCTATAGATGCAGAAAAGAGGTCAATGGAACGCAGACCGTGGGGGATAGAATAAATATGATCTAAAAAAGTGGATATATAGTCCCGTGTAGCTCAGTTGGTAGAGCATGGCGTTTGCAACACCAGGATTGTGGGTTCGATTCCCACGGGGGGGCAGAATGAAAACGTATGCACTCACAGTGAGGGGAAAAAGTATTTGATCCCCTGCTGATTTTGTACGTTTGCCCACTGACAAAGACATGATCAGTCTATAATTTTAATGGTAGGTTTATTTGAACAGTGAGAGACAGAATAACAACAAAACAATCCAGAAAAACGCATGTCAAAAATGTTATTAATTTATTTGCATTTTAATGAGGGAAATAAGTATTTGACCCCTCTGCAAAACATGACTTAGTACTTGGTGGCAAACCCTTGTTGGCAATCACAGAGGTCAGACGTTTCTTGTAGTTGGCCACCAGGTTTGCACACATCTCAGGAGCGATTTTGTCCCACTCCTCTTTGCAGATCTTCTCCAAATCATTAAGGTTTCAAGGCTGACGTTTGGCAACTCGAACCTTCAGCTCCCGCCACAGATTTTCTATGGGATTAAGGTCTGGAGACTGGCTAGGCCACTCCAGGAGCTTAATGTGCTTCTTCTTGAGCCACTTCTTTGTTGCCTTGGCCGTGTGTTTTGGTTCATTGTCATGCTGGAATACCCATATACGACCCATTTTCAATGCCCTGGCTGAGGGAAGGAGGTTCTCACCCAAGATTTGACGGTACATGGCCCGTCCATCGTCCCTTTGATGCGGTGAAGTTGTCGTGTCCCCTTAGCAGAAATAACACCCCCAAAGCATAATGTTTCCACCTCCATGTTTGACGGTGGGGATGGTGTTCTTGGGGTCATAGGCAGCATTCCTCCTCCTCCAAACACGGCGAGTTGAGTTGATGCCAAAGAGCTCCATTTTGGTCTCATCTGACCACAACACTTTCACCCAGTTCTCCTCTGAATCATTCAGATGTTCATTGGCAAACTTAAGACGGCCCAGTATATGTGCTTTCTTGAGCAGGGGGACATTGCGAGCACTGCAGGATTTCAGTCCTTCACGGCGTAGTGTGTTTTCTTGGTGACTATGGTCCCAGCTGCCTTGAGATCATTGACAAGATCCTCCCGTGTAGTTCTGGGCTGATTCCTCACCGTTCTCATGATCATTGCAACTCCACAAGGTGAGCTCTTGCATGGAGCCCCAGGCCGAGGGAGATTGACAGTTCTTTTGTGTTTCTTCCATTTGCGAATAATCGCACCAACTGTTGTCACCTTCTCACCAAGCTGCTTGGCGATGGTCTTGTAGCCCATTCCAGCCTTGTGTAGGTCTACAATCTTGTCCTTGACATCCTTGGAGAGCTCTTTTGTCTTGGCCATGGTGGAGAGTTTGGAATCTGGTTGATTGCTTCTGTGGACAGGTGTCTTTTTATACAGGTAACAAGCTGAGATTAGGAGCACTCCCTTTAAGAGTGTGCTCCTAATCTCAGCTTGTTACCTGTATAAAAGTCACCTGGGAGCCAGAAATATTTCTGATTGAGAGGGGGTCAAATACTTATTTCCCTCATTAAAATGCAAATCAATTTATAACATTTTTGACATGCGTTTTTCTGGATTTTTTTGTTGTTATTCTGTCTCTCACTGTTCAAATAAACCTACCATCAAAATGATAGACTGATCATTTCTTTGTCAGTGGGCAAACGTACAAAATCAGCAGGGGATCAAATACTTTTTTCCCTCACTGTAACTGTATGTCGCTCTGGATAAGAGCGTCTGCTAAATGACTTAAATGTAAATATTTGTCAAATCCGTCATGATTGATGTATTGTAACAAGACACAATGTGGTTGCTGAAGTCCGATTTGGATATATTTGGCTGTTTTCGCTGCATAACATTTAGAAGTTGTTCCTTTTCAGGTTTAGAAGAGGTGACACATAAGCTGGTAGCATAGCTAGCATACAGAAATCGGTGGTGGTAGTCAAAGTTGTTTTTAACTGCAATGCAGTTGATTGGTGATGATGACATGAGCATATATTGGGGTTGACATCTATACAAGCATTTATACTCAGATTTTTACCTCAACATAGTGTGAAATACATATATAAACAAAAGCCTAAATTTAGGCTAATTTTACTGGGGGGCAATGAGGAAACTCTGGATATTTCTCTCTCGCATTTCCATTGTTTGGGTCGAGTTCCATTGACCACTTTACTGCATCTATGAGGTCAGAAGGAGGGCTTCCTATGAGGTCAAATGGGGGGGTCTACGATGAGGTCAGAGGGAGGGTCTCCTCAATCTGTTATTCACTCTCCTATGATCCTGTTAGCACTGGGGAAGCGCTGTTAGCACTGGGAAGGAACAGGTAGCAGTGTTAGCACGGGGGAGGAACAGTTAGCACTGGGGAAGCACTGTTAGCACTGGGGAATCACTGTTAGCACTGGGGAGGAACAGTTAGCACTGGGGAGGAACAGTTAGCACTGGGGAGGAACAGTTAGCACTGGGGAGGAACAGTTAGCACTGGGGAATCACTGTTAGCACAGGGGAGGAACAGTTAGCACTGGGGAATCACTGTTAGCACTGGGGAATCACTGTTAGCACTGGGGAATCACTGTTAGCACTGGGGAGGAACAGTTAGCACTGGGGAAGTACTGTTAGCTCTGCTAGCACTGGGGAAGCCCTGTTAGAACTATTAGCAATAGCACTAGAGAAGAAGTGCTTATGGTAGTCAGTACAGTGTCAGTGCTGCTCACTAAATTAGACCAAGTTATCTCAACTAGTCTCAGACCAAGGTTGTTGGATGAAGCACAGAAACATATTTTATTTTGCTCCTTTTGATTTTGCACATTTTTAAACAAAATATTTACAACAAAGTGAATTAATCTATGTCATTTTACTGTTAGACATGTTCTGTTATTTTGTGTATGTTGTGAATTGCCTAACTGCCTTTGTCAGCTGAGTGAAATGATCAAATATGTTGACTTAATACTTTACGGGTTGTGTGCATGAAATGTTTTAGGCCATATTATTTTGGGGTTCATTGGTAGATGCACTGGCTTTGCATTTTCCTTGGTTTTACTTGCATGTTTCTGTTCCTACTTGTACTTATCAAACAATACGTTATGTCCTCTCTTAAACTTAAAGCCTTAATACTCTATTGTGTTGCTACTCTAGGAGGAGTGTCTCCAGCATGGTGTGAGCTAGTGGTTGAACAACGCTTTGACAGGCAGCACATTAATTATTGTGCACAGTGTAAGGCCAAACTATCCCTCAACAAATATCCCGGAAGTAAAACCCACAGCCTTTTTAATGTAGAGATGCATGGTTCTATGTTTTAAACCTGACTTTACCTGTGTTTACCTCTGTTTACCTGTGTGGTTTTCTCTCTTTCTATCACAATGCTTCCCTCAGCAAGGACAAGTTTGGAAGGTTTGCTCAGCTCTTCCCTAAATCACTCCCCCTCGTTCTACCCCTCCCTTCTATCCTACCAGCATCATGTCCCAGAATTACTTGTATACTACTCAGTACTCACAACGTTCACAATTCAACAAACAGGCCCATCCCAAAGTGCAATTGAATCACTGTAATTATTTTATTAGGTTAAAATAGATATTATATTTGCTATTGTGCATTTTTTCCCAGTTTTATTTCTTACATGAAATCTAACAGTTGCAAAGACTATCTCAACTTGTTATTAAAAAAAGGTGAGCACCTATAGTCCAACAATTAGATCAGAATACATTAAAGCTTTAACCATGGTCTTCTTTTGGTTTGTGAGCATCGAATTCACAGTTTCTGGACATTTGCACCACAAAAAGTATGTATTTTTGGGGGGGATTGAAGATCAGGCAATGGGAAGAGATAGGGCCTGGTTGAATTCACTGACACTTCATTATGCAATTCAACAGTGCTCTGCTCTCCTCTGCAAAATGAAAGTGTTCCCTGCATGGATCCATCACATCGTATCACTAATCATGAATCTAGTCTTGATGATATGAGGAGTTGAACATACTCTTTCTCTATATGTTTGTCGCTCTACTGTTTTAGTTTTAGTGTATTGCGAACCTCGAAACGCTTATGTGTTATAGACTGACTGAATACTCAAACATAACCATTCCTGTTTTGTCAGGCTGCCGTGCATGCCCAGTGTCGTGTACCATACACCACCCTACCTCAAACATACATCTGCTAACTTTTTGTTGCTTATAACATCTATGTTGTAACACACAGTTCAACTATCTTCTCTCCCAGTAGGAGTATGCCCATGCACTGCTTTCTCACTAACTCCTCTCCAAACTCCCATACAGCACTCTGTCAGTAGAAATGTATTCATACTCTCTATCTCAGTCCATCTCTCTATCTCTTGCTCTCTCGCTGTCTCTCATACACTCACTCAAAACGTGACCAAAATACTACTTTCATAATTTGCCTCATCATCCTATCAGTTGTTATCTGCCAATGTTTTGTTGTTGTTAGTATTATTGTTGATGCATCTTTAGCGTTATTCTGTGTTTTTGACCCTCTTCATTATAGGCATGTGGTGACCCCAAAGCCAAACCATCCTATCTAATAGACAAGAACCTGGAGTCTGCTGTCAAGTTCATTGTCAGAAAATTCCCAGCGGTTGAAACACGCAACAACAATGTAAGTCTGTCTATTACATGTATATAACAAATATATTTCATGTTATTTCAGCTCATTTTAATGCTGCTTGGTATCTACAGTGGGGAGAACAAGTATTTGATACACTGCCGATTTTGCAGGTTTACCTACTTACAAAGCATGTAGAGGTCTGTCATTTTTATCATAGGTACACTTCAACTGTGAGAGACGGAATCTAAAACAAAAATCCAGAAAATCACATTGTATGATTTTTAAGTAATGAATTTGCATTTTATTGCATGACATAAGTATTTGATCACCTACCAACCAGTAAGAATTCCGGCTCTCACAGACATGTTAGTTTTTCTTTAAGAAGCCCTCCTGTTCTCCACTCATTACCTGTATTAACTGCACCTGTTTGAACTCGTTACCTGTATAAAAGACACCTGTCCACACACTCAATCAAACAGACTCCAACCTCTCCACAATGGCCAAGACCAGAGAGCTGTGTAAGGACATCAGGGATAAAATTGTAGACCTGCACAAGGCTGGGATGGGCTACAGGACAATAGGCAAGCAGGCAACAACTGTTGGCGCAATTATTAGAAAATGGAAGAAGTTCAAGATGACGGTCAATCACCCTCGGTCTGGGGCTCCATGCAAGATCTCACCTCGTGGGGCATCAATGATCATGAGGAAGGTGAGGGATCAGCCCAGAACTACACGGCAGGACCTGGTCAATGACCTGAAGAGAGCTGGGACCACAGTCTCAAAGAAAACCATTAGTAACACACTACGCCGTCATGGATTAAAATCCTGCAGTGCACGCAAGGTCCCCCTGCTCAAGCCAGCGCATGTCCAGGCCCGTCTGAAGTTTGCTAATGACCATCTGGATGATCCAGAGGAGGAATGGGAGAAGGTCATGTGGTCTGATGAGACAAAAATAGAGCTTTTTGGTCTAAACTCCACTCGCCGTGTTTGGAGGAAGAAGAAGGATGAGTACAACCCCAAGAACACCATCCCAACCGTGAAGCATGGAGGTGGAAACATCATTCTTTGGGGATGCTTTTCTGCAAAGGGGACAGGACAACTGCACCGTATTGAGGGGAGGATGGATGGGGCCATGTATCGCGAGATCTTGGCCAACAACCTCCTTCCCTCAGTAAGAGCATTGAAGATGGGTCGTGGCTGGGTCTTCCAGCATGACAACGACCCGAAACACACAGCCAGGGCAACTAAGGAGTGGCTCCGTAAGAAGCATCTCAAGGTGCTGGAGTGGCCTAGCCAGTCTCCAGACCTGAACTCAATAGAAATTCTTGGAGGGAGCTGAAAGTCCGTATTGCCCAGCGACAGCCCCGAAACCTGAAGGATCTGGAGAAGGTCTGTATGGAGGAGTGGGCCAAAATCCCTGCTGCAGTGTGTGCAAACCTGGTCAAGATCTACAGGAAACGTATGATCTCTGTAATTGCAAACAAAGGTTTCTGTACCAAATATAAAGTTCTGCTTTTCTGATGTATCAAATACTTATGTCATGCAATAAAATGCAAATTAATTACTTAAAAATCATACAATGTGATTTTCTGGATTTCTGTTTTAGATTCCGTCTCTCACAGTTGAAGTGTACCTATGATAAAAATTACATACCTCTACATGCTTTGTAAGTAGGAAAACCTGCAAAATCGGCAGTGTATCAAATACTTGTTCTCCCCACTGTATATGAAGTCCTTTACCTATTGCACTACAAGGTCTGTGCGATAAAGTGCATTTATTAATTGCATTAATTGTTGTATTTAGTTATATTTTGATGATAGTATTTGACCCTTTTGAGATAAAATAGGCATTGTAAATGTAATTCCATCTGAGATCCATCATCCTATTTCTTCACTATATACAGTGGGGGAAAAAAGTTTGCCACCAATTGTGCAAGTTCTCCCACTTAAAAAGATGAGAGAGGCCTGTAATTTTCATCATAGGTACACGTCAACTATGACAGACAAAATGAGAATTTTTCTTCCAGAAAATCACATTGTAGGATTTTTAATGAATTTATTTGCAAATTATGGTGGAAAATAAGTATTTGGTCAATAACAAAAGTTTCTCAATACTTTGTTATATACCCTTTGTTGGCAATGACACAGGTCAAACGTTTTCTGTAAGTCTTCACAAGGTTTTGGCAACACACTGTTGCTGCTGGTATTTGGCCCATTCCTCCATGCAGCTCTCCTCTACGAGCAGTGATGGTTTTGGGGCTGTCGCTGGGCAACACGGAATTTCAACTCCCTCCAACGATTTTCTATGGGCGTTGAGATCTGGAGACTGGCTAGGCCACTCCAAGGACCTTGAAATGGCTTCTTACGAAGCCACTCCTTCGTTGCCCGGGCAGTGTGTTTGGGATATTGTCATGCTGAAAGGACCCAAGCCACATTTCATCTTCAATTGCCCTTGCTGATGGGAAGGAGGTTTTCACTCAAACTTCAGACGGGCCTGGACATGTACTGGCTTAAGCAGGGGGACACGTCTGGCACTGCAGGATTTGAGTCCCTGGCGGCGTAGTGTGTTACTGATGGTAGGCTTTGTTACTTTTGTCCCAGCTCTCTGCAGGTCATTCACTAGGTCCCCCCGTGTGGTTCTGGGATTTTTGCTCACTGTTCTTGTGATCATTTTGACCCCACGGGGTGAGATCTTGTGTGGAGCCCCAGATCGAGGGAGATTATCAGTGGTCTTGTATGTCTTCCATTTCCTAATAATTGCTCCCACAGTTGATTTCTTCAAACCAAGCTGCTTACCTATTGCAGATTCAGTCTTCCCAGCCTGGTGCAGGTCTACAATTTTGTTTCTGGTGTCCTTTGACAGCTCTTTGGTCTTGGCCATAGTGGAGTTTGGAGTGGGACTGTTTGAGGTTGTGGACAGGTGTCTTTTATACTGATAACCAGTTCAAACAGGTGCCATTAATACAGGTAACGAGTGGAGGACAGAGGAGCCTCTTAAAGAAGAAGTTACAGGTCTGTGAGAGCCAGAAATCTTGCTTGTTTGTAGGTGACCAAATACTTATTTTCCACCATAATTTGCTAATAAATTCATAAAAACTCCTACAATGTGATTTTCTGGAGAAAAAAAATCTCATTTTGTCTGTCATAGTTGACGTGTACCTATGATGAAAATTACAGGCCTCTCTCATCTTTTTAAGCGGGAGAACTTGCACAATTGGTGGCTGACTAAATACTTTTTTTTCCCCACTGTATGTACCACCCACATGTACATTTCCATAAATGTTATGTTATGTATGATAATTCTACCTTTTTATAGGTAGCCTTTTTAAGTACAACTAATTCATTCTTACCCAGTTTGTCTTTTCAAGTGTTTTTCCACCCGATGCTTAGCTATCACCATTGGCCTGCTTTCTATTTAATTTGAAATGTTAAACGGCTTCTTTGGTGTAGCTGTCATGTGGTTTGCTATGTTGTACTTTTTGCTGCAGTGGTTCATGTTTTACTTGGTCTGTGTTTTTTGTTTTGCATGCTTAACTTCTTGGCTTTTTTCTGGAATATTATTTTGGTAAGTTGAAGCTCCTCAGAGTTCCTTTTTTTCTATGTTTTGCATGTCTTATTATTGTCTATGTAGCAGATTTTCATTTAATTTATTGCTAATTCATATTTTTATTATATTTCACACTCAAGTTTTTCGATACTGCTAGGTAACAGTTAATAGTTAGGTTGAAAAAAATGCAGTTTTTGTTTGAAAAATAGAAGAAGTAACATTTGTTGTAGTGCAAGAGACCAGGTGTGTGTCCCAAATGGCACCCTATTCTCATTATAGTGCACTACTTTTACCTAGAGCCCTCTGGGCCTTGGTCAAAAGAAGCACACTACATAGTGAATAGAGTGCCATTTGGGACGTACGCCAAAGATAACAATCAAGCAAACATTACTTCACATTTGGCTTGTGAGAGGCTATCATTGGTTAAAAAAGGCCCCATTGTGACAGTGCTAAAAATGCAGTCATGTTGTCGAAGGCAACATTAGTATTTTGGAATGATAAAGGTGTTTTTGGTTAGAGCTCTACATTTTTGCGTAGTCAAAATGTCACCCTGACCCATTGTGTGATGTCCTTGGTAGTATTTCTCAGGATATCTAGTTATTCTAACAAATTGAGAACACTGTACTACCAAACATGTACTACCAAACACAGATGTCAAAGTCACGATAAAGCCATAATAAGTATGCAATGTTTGACCTCTTATACCAGATTCCATCAGCCTATTTGACTGTGCTCATTGTTCCATAGCATCCATACAAGTAACATTCGTGTGTCCTGAGTTTAACTTTAGAGCACCTTGTTTTTGTTACAACCATGTTTTTTTCTACAGCAACAGCTTGCACAACTACAAAAAGAGAAGTCTGAAATCCTTAAGAATCTAGCGTTGTATTACTTCACATTCGTAGATGTGATGGAGTTTAAGGTATGTGCAATTTAAGCATCATTCAATGTAGTGATAATAGAGAACAGGTTTTAAGGTCCGTTGTCAAATTAGCAGAAGCATAATATGACTCTCTTGATACCAATGTACAGTACTCTATATACATGTATAATGATAATCCATCATAAATCATAGTTACACTTATTATCAAGTTACTATACTGTGAAATGTACATAAATACTGTTTTCGTTCTCTCCTTCCAGGACCATGTCTGTGAGCTGCTGAATACTATCGATGCTTGCCAAGTATTCTTTGATATTGTAAGACACATTTATTTATACCATGCATGTAATTACAGGATGCTTTTGGTTATTCCTCCGAGATTATATCTAAAAGATGTCATGTTTTTACTTGGATTAGATAAGTACGGTGACCCTAAGGGGCGAAGTAGATCGGTCTTGATGTCAGTCCTAATTTTGTTCCCATATCTTTTTACAGACTGTAAACTTTGACCTGACCAAAAACTACCTTGACTTGGTAGTGACCTACACTAACCTAATGATGCTACTGTCGCGGATTGAAGAGAGGAAAGCTATCATTGGCCTCTACAACTATGCCCACGAAATGACACATGGATCAAGGTAAAACAATATTAAAATAAGTTAAGTTTAACGGTTTTACACATACATTTCCAGTGGCGTTATATTAAAATCTCTCTTTGTTTTGTAGATTCAGACTTAGAAATACCTGAGAACTACCAATATCAACAACATTGTTGTATGTTTGTTCCCCATCTAGTGATCGAGAGTACCCTAGGCTGGGACAGATGATCGTTGACTACGAGAACCCACTGAAAAAGATGATGGAGGAGTTTGTTCCACATGGGAAGGTGAATAGTGTCACCTGTAACTCAACATGCTATGTTCTTGTCCTGAGCACTGACAATGATAACACATCTTTTGGTTACACTTTATTATAACTTTGATGCTTAAGCCATGTTTATACATGCTTATATTGCTTATAAACTAAGGCACTGCATCTCAGTGCTTGAGGCGTCACTACAGACCCCCTGGTTCGATTCCAGGCTGTATCACAACCGGCCGTGATTGGGAGTCCCATATGGCGCCGCTTAATTGGCCCAGCGTCATCCTGGTTAGGGGAGGGTTTGGCCGGTGTAGGCCGTCATTGTAAATAATAATTTGTTCTTAACTGACTTGCCTAGTTAAATAAAGGTAAAATATATATTTTTTTACTAATAATAAAATACAGATGTGTTAATAGTATGTACAGTTGTGGTCAAAAGTTTTGAGAATGACACATTAATTTTCACAAAGTCTGCTGCCTCAGTTTTTTATGATGGCAATTTGCATATACTCCAGAATGTTATGAAGAGTGCAATTCATCTGATCAAAGTCCCTCTTTGCCATGAAAATGAACTTAATCCCCCAAAAACATTTCCACTGCATTTCAGCCCTGCCACAAAAGGACCAGCTGACATCATGTCAGTGATTCTCTCGTTAACACAGGTGAGAGTGTTGACGAGGACAAGGCTGGAGATCACTCTGTCATGCTGATTGAGTTAGAATAACAGACTGGAAGCTTTAAAAGGAGGGTGGTGCTTGAAATCATTGTTCTTCCTCTGTTAACAATGGTTACCTGCAAGGAAACACGTGCCGTCATCATTGCTTTGCACAAAAAGGGCTTCACAGGCAAGGATATTGCTGCTAGGAAGATTGCACCTAAATCAACCATTTATTGGATCTTCAAGGAGAGAGGTTCAATTGTTGTGAAGAAGGCTTCAGGGCGCCCAAAAAAAGTCCAGCAAGCGCCAGGACCATCTCCTAAAGTTGATTCAGCTGCACCACCAGTGCAGAGCTTGCTCAGGAATGGCAGCAGGCAGGTGTGAGTGCATCTGCACGCACAGTGAGGCAAAGACTTTTGGAGGATGGCCTGGTGTCAAGAAGGGCAGTGAGGAAGCCACTTCTCTCCAGGAAAAACATCAGGGACAGACTGATATTCTGCAAAAGGTACAGGGTTTAGACTGCTGAGGACTGGGGTAAAGTCATTTTCTCTAATGAATCCCCTTTCTGATTGTTTGGGGCATCTGGGGAAAAAAGCTTGTCCGGAGAAGAGAAGGTGAGCGCTACCATCAGTCCTGTGTCATGCCAACAGTAAAGCATCCTGAGACCATTCATGTGTGGGGTTGCTTCTCAGCCAAGGGAGTGGGCTCACTCACAATTTTGCCTAAGAACACAGCCATGAATAAAGAATGGTACCAACACATCCTCCGAGAGCAACTTCTCCCAACCATCCAAGAACAGTTTGGTGACGAACAATGCCTTTTCCAGCATGATGGAGCACCTTGCCATAAGGCAAAAGTGGTAACTAAGTGGCTCGGGGAACAAAACATCGACATTTTGGGTCCATGGCCAGGAAACTCCCCAGACCTTAATCCCATTGAGAACTTGTGGTCGATCGTCAAGAGGCGGGTGGACAAACAAAAACCCACATTCTGACAAACTCCAAGCATTGATTATGCAAGAATGGGCTGCCATCAGTCAGGATGTGGCCCAGAAGTTAATTGACAGCATGCCAGGGCGGATTGCAGAGGTCTTGAAAAAGAAGGGTCAACACTGCAAATATTGACTCTTTGCATAAACTTAATGTAATTCTCAATAAAAGCCTTTGACACTTATGGAATGCTTGTAATTATACTTCAGTATACCATAGTAACATCTGACAAAAATATCTAAAAACACTGAATCAGCAAAATTTGAAGACCAATACTTGTGTCATTCTCAAAACTTTTGACCACTGTGTTAATAGTTGATTAATGCTTCTTCATGAAAGTTATTATAAACTGTCATAAACCAATCTATCTCTCTCCCTCCCCCTCCATCCCCTGTAGTCGTTGTCAGACGCCCTGCTCTCCCTCCAGATGGTGTACCCCAGACGAATACCATGTTAACCAGCCATCAACAGTGTATTTACCACTTAACCAGCCCGTCAGAACAGTGAGTTACCATGCTTACCTCAGCAGTCAGACACGTGATTACCATGCTTAACCCAGCCCCAGTCAGACACAGTGAGTACCATGCTTACCACCCGTCAGACCGTGAGTTACCCATGCTAACCCGCCCAGTGAGGACACGTGAGTTACCATGCTAACCATGCCCTAGACACAGTGATTCATCTTAACCCAGCCCAGTCAGACACAGTGAGTTACCATGCTTAACCCAGCCCAGTCAGACACAGTGAGTTACCATGCTTAACCCAGCCCAGTCAGACACAGTGAGTTACCATGCTTAACCCAGCCCAGTCAGACACAGTGAGTTACCATGCTTAACCCAGCCCAGTCAGACACAGTGAGTTACATGCTTAACCCAGCCCAGTCAGACACAGTGAGTTACCATGCTTAACCCAGCCCAGTCACACAGTGAGTTACCATGCTTAACCCAGCCCAGTCAGACACAGTGAGTTACCATGCTTAACCCAGCCCAGTCAGACACAGTGAGTTACCATGCTTAACCCAGCCCAGTCAGACACAGTGAGTTACCATGCTTAACCCAGCCCAGTCAGACACAGTGAGTTACCATGCTTAACCCAGCCCAGTCAGACACAGTGAGTTACCATGCTTAACCCAGCCCAGTCAGACACAGTGAGTTACCATGCTTAACCCAGCCCAGTCAGACACAGTGAGTTACCATGCTTAACCCAGCCCAGTCAGACACAGTGAGTTACCATGCTTAACCCAGCCCAGTCAGACACAGTGAGTTACCATGCTTAACCCAGCCCAGTCAGACACAGTGAGTTACCATGCTTAACCCAGCCCAGTCAGACACAGTGAGTTACCATGCTTAACCCAGCCCAGTCAGACACAGTGAGTTACCATGCTTAACCCAGCCCAGTCAGACACAGTGAGTTACCATGCTTAACCCAGCCCAGTCAGACACAGTGAGTTACCATGCTTAACCCAGCCCAGTCAGACACAGTGAGTTACCATGCTTAACCCAGCCCAGTCAGACACAGTGAGTTACCATGCTTAACCCAGCCCAGTCAGACACAGTGAGTTACCATGCTTAACCCAGCCCAGTCAGACACGGTGAGTTACCATGCTTAACCCAGCCCAGTCAGACACAGTATGCCACTTAGTTTTGATCCAAAGCGACTTACAGTACAGTGGGTGTGTACAGTAATGTGATCCCTGCAGGAGTTGAACCCATGACTATGGTGTTGCTAGTGCCATACTTGAGCCACACATGACCATCAATACAGTGCCTGCTTACAGAAAGTCTACACCCCCCTTGGATTTCTTCAAATGTTATTGTGTTACAAATTGGGATTAAAATTGATTTAATTGTCATTTTTTTGTCAATGATGTACACAAAATACTGTAATGTCAAAGTGGAAGAAAAATGCTTTATTTTTTTATTTAATGAAAAATAAAACACTATCTTGATTAGATAAGTATTCACCCCACTGAGTCAATACATGTTAGAATCACCTTTGGCAGCGATTACATGTATGAGTCTTCTTGGGAAAGTCTCATAAGAGCTTTGCACACTAGTATTGTGCAATATTTGCCCATTATTCTTTTCAGAATTCTTCAAGGTCTGTCAAGGTATTGGGGATCATGGCTAGACAGCGATTTTCAAGTCTTGCCATAGATTTCCAAGCAGACTTAAGTCAAAACGGTAACTTGGCCACTCAGGAACATTCACTGTCTTCTTGGTAAGTAACTCCAGTGTAGATTTGGCTTTGTGATGTAGGTTATTGTCCTGCTAAAAGGTGAATTCCTCTCCCATTGTCTGGTGTAAAGCAGACTGAAGCAGGTTTTCCTCTAGGATTTTGCCTGTGCTTAGCTCCATCCCATCTCTTTTCATCCTGAAAAACTCCCCAGTCTTTGCTGATGTCAAGCATACCCATGCCATGATGCAGCCACCACCATGCTTGAAAATAAAGGGGCAGTTACTCAGTGATGTGTTTTGTTGGATTTGCTCCAAACATAACGCTTTGCATTAAGGCCAAAAGTGTATTCCTCTGCTGTGTTTTTTTTTTCAGTATTACTTTAGTGCCTTGTTGCATACAAGATGCATGTTTTGGAAAATTATTTTTATTCTGTATATTTGTATTCTTCTCACTCTGTCATTTAGGTCATTATTGTGGAGTCTCTACAATGTTGTTAAACCACCCTCAGTTTTCTCCCATCACAGCCATTGAACTCTGTAGCTGTTTCAAAATCACCAATGGCCTCATGGTGACATCCCTAAGCAGTTTCCTTCCTGTCCTGCAGCTCAGTTCAGAAGGACCACTGCATCTTTCATGTGTCTGGGTACTTTAATACATAATCCAAAGCATAAGTATTAACTTGACCATGCTTAAAGATATATTCAATGTCTGATTTGTTATTGTTACCCACCTACCAATCACTGCCCTTCTTTGAGGCTTTCGAAAAGCTCCCTGGTCTTGTAGTTGAATCTGTGCTTGAAATTCAATACTTGACTGAGGGACCTTACAGATGTTGTATGTATGGGGGACAGAGGAAGGGGTAGTCATTCAAAAATCAACCCCTATTATTTCACACAGAGTGAGTACATATAACTTATTTATGTGATTTGTTAAGCCACATTTTACTTCTGAACTAATTTAGGCTTGTCTTTATCAAAGGGGGTGAGTACTTTTGTAACAACTATATTTTAGTTATTTAATTTGTAGAATTTTCTTTTCACTTTGAAATTATGGACTATTTTGTGTGGATCAATGACAAAATGACAATTAAATATATTTCAATCCCACTTTGTAATGCAACAAAGTGGAAAAAGTTCAAAGGGGTGTAGACTTTCTATAGGCACTGTGGATCTCTCCGATCACACCTTTTCCTGCTCACAGTCACATGCATTGACCTATGATTCTGTTTGTTCTAGATGCCCTGTGAATACTTGTCCCTGGACGCAATGGAGAAGTGGATAGTATGTAAGTGTTTATAGAGTACAGTCTGACCTAATTGATTTGATAGGTTTATACCATTGGAGGGAAGGGGGAGCATGATCATTAGGTTCAGGTATAGGCCTATTTAACATCAGTGTACATTTCCAAAAACACACAACACGTTAAAACACAGGTAAAAATATACATCAGTCTAAATATTCGGATTCCCTACAAATACTCTGTCTCTGTCCTTGTGTTTGTGTGTCAGTTGGCTTCATCCTGTGTCATGGGGTCCTGAACAGTGACCAGGCAGCTCTGAGCCTGTGGAAGCTGGCTCTTCAGAGCAGCACCTGCCTCTGTCTCTTCAGAGACGAGGTGTTCCACATCCACAAGGCTGCTGAGGACCTCTTCATCAACATCCGCGGGTGAGGGATCACACATTAAAACTAACCTAATGGCCTGTTTTCCTGGGACCCAGATTAAGCCTAGTCCTTGACTGAAAAGCATGCTCAATGAGGGACAGTTTAAGAATATACCCAGGCAATTGTTAAGTGTGTATGAGTAAATTTAACTATTCTTCCTTTTCATTTCACAGTTACAATAAGCGTGTGAATGACATCAAAGAGTGCAAAGAACAAGCGTTGTCACATGCGTAAGTGCCTCTCAAATGTATCTAGTTTACTGTTTAGGATGCAATTCAACACAGAGGTTTTGAATGGTATTTGCCACACTATCCTCTCAGAATGTGATTGTTTGTTTTGTTACAGAGGCTTGATGCACAGAGAAAGACGCAAGTTCCTGAGATCTGCCCTGAAGGAGCTGGCCACAGTCCTATCTGACCAGCCAGGATTACTGGGGCCTAAAGTACTGCATCACTGCTCTTTCATCACGGCTCCATTTTGACACTTTTATTTAGACAGTATAGAAATCAGAAGGGGATACAGGCAGGTGGGAGAAACAGTGGGAAGGGTAGACACAGGGATTGAACCCCAGTCTCAGGTGGGGAGATTTGTATATGTGACTTCTGCTGGGTGTGTTGCCACTCAACCACAGCTCTGCACCTGCACTACTGCTCTCTAGTTGGACTAACACTATAGGCACTCTAGTTGTGTTAACATGATAATGCAAGTTGGACTAACACTATAGGCGCTCTAGGTGTGTTAACATGATAATGCTAGTTGGACTAACACTATAGCCACTCTAGGTGTGTTAACATGATAATGCTAGTTGGACTACAGTGGAGGCTGCTGAGGGTAGGACGGCTGATAATAATGTCTGGAACGGAGAAAATGGAATGGCATCAAACACATGGAAACCATGTGTTTGATGTATTTAATACCATTCCACAAATTCCGCTCCAGTCATTACCACGAGCCCATTCTCCCCAATTAAGTTGCCACCAACAACCTCTGTTGGACTAACACTATAGGCACTAGTTGTGTTAACATGATAATGTGAGTTGGACTAACTCTAAAGGGGTCAGAGGATTAGGATTCAAATCCTGAATGACCTGTGTAGATGATCCAGTAGTCCTTACACTCTCTAAGTGGGCTGTCGTGTCTAATTGATGGATGATAGTAACTATAAAACCTGACTCCTGTCCTCTGCCTAGGCCCTGTTTGTATTCATGGCTCTGTCGTTCGCTCGGGATGAGATCATTTGGCTGCTACGACATGCAGACAACATCCAGAAGAAGAGCACAGACGACTTTATTGACAAGTAAGACACATCCTACTGACTCAACTTGTAGCTATGGGGTTTCCCTTCACCCCTCAGGAAATGTAGTGGCCCTGTGTTTACTTCCTGGAAAAGTCTGTGTCAAAATGCGTCTTCTTGACACATTTTGCATCTTGCTTGACTGCCGTCATGAGACTAAAAGTGATATGTCTCAATGGTTTTTGAATAAAATGACCCTTTAAGGAAAGCCGTGGTATGAAGGAGTATTGAGCATACTAATGAAGTTTAGGTCTTTACATTTTACATTTTAGTCATTTAGCAGACGCTCTTATCCAGAGCGACTTACAGTTAGTGAGTGCATACATTTTCATACAGGTCTTCTATTCTCTTATACTGAATAAAAATATAAACGCAACTTGCAACAATTTCAACGATTTTACTGAGTTTCTGTTCATATAAGGAAATCAGTCAATTGAAATAAATTAATTAGGCCCTAATCTATGGATTTCTCATGACTGGGCAGGGGCGCAGCCATGGGTGGGCCTGGGAGGGCATAGGCCCCCACCCACTGCGGAGCCAGGCCCAGCCAATCAGAATGAGTTTATTAAGGGCATTATTACAGACAGAAATACTCTTCAGTTTCATCAGCTGTCCAAGTGGCTGGTTTCAGACAATCCTGCAGGTGCTAGAAGCTGTATGTGGAGGGGCTGGCGTGGTTAGACGGTTGTGAGGCCGGTTGGAAGTACTGCCAAATTCTCTAAAATGACGTTGGAGAAATGAACATTCAATTCTCTGGCAATAGCTCTGGTGGACATTTGTGCAGTCAACATGCCAATTGCACGCTCCCTCAACTTGAGACATCTGTGGCATTGTGTTCTGTGACAAAACTGCAAATGTTAGTGGCCTTTTATAGTCCCCAGCACAAGGTGCACCTGTGTAATGATCATGCTGTTTAATCAGCTTCTTGATATGGCACATCTGTCAGGTGGATGGATTATTTTGGCAAAGGAGAAATTCTCACTAACAGGGATGTAAACAAATATGTGCACAAAATTTGAGAGAATAAGATTTTTGTGCGTATGGAAAGTTTATGGGATCTTTTATTTCAGCTCATGAAACATGGGACCAACACTTTACATGTTGCGTTTATATTTTTGTTCAGTATAGATCATTCTTGCTATTCTATGTCTTCAGGCACATTGCAGAGCTGATCTTCTACATGGAGGAGCTGAGGGCCCATGTGAGGAAGTATGGTCCTGTCATGCAGAGGTACTACGTCCAGTACCTGTCTGGCTTCGATGCCGTGGTGCTCAACGAGCTAGTACAGGTGAGACTGCTCACTGGAGCTCACATGGGCTGCCTCCCAAATGGTACCGTATTCCCTATACAGTGCATACGGGAAGTATTCAGACCCCTTGACTTTTTCCACATTTTGTTACTAAAATTGATTAAACAATTTTTTTCCCTCATCAATCTACACACAATAACCCATAATGACAAAGCAAAAACAGGTTTATAATTTATATTTTAAAAATATATACAGTTGAAGTCTGAAGTTTACATACACTTAGGTTGGCGTCATTAAAACTCGTTTTTCAATCACTCCACACATTTCTTGTTAACAAACTATAGTTTTGGCAAGTTGGTTAGGACATCTACTTTGTGAATGACACAAGTAATTTTTCCAACAATTGTTTACAGACAGATTATTTCACTTATAATTCACTGTATCACAATTCCAGTGGGTCAGAAGTTTATATACACTGTGCTTTTAAACAGCTTGGAAAATTCCAGGAAATGATGTCATGGCTTTAGAAGCTTCTGATAGGATAATTGACATCATTTGAGTCAATTGGAGGTGTACCTGTGGATGTATTTCAAGGCCTACCTTCAAACTCAGTGCCTCTTTGCTTGACATCATGGGAAAATCAAAAGAAATCAACCAAGAACTTAGAAATAAAATGGTAGACCTCCACAAGTCTGGTTCAATTTCCAAACGCCTGAAGGTACCACGTTCATCTGTACAAACAATAGTACGCAAGTATAAACACCATGTGACCACGCAACCGTCATACCGCTCAGGAAGGAGACGCGTTCTGTCTCCTAGAGATGCACGTACTTTGGTACGAAAAGTGCATATCAATCCAAGAACAACAGCAAAGGACCTTGTGAAGATGCTGGAGGAAACGGGTACAAAAGTATCTATATCCACAGTAAAACGAGTCCTATATCGACATAACCTGAAAGGCCGCTCAGCAAGAGAGAAGCCACTGCTCCAAAGCCGCCATAAAAAAGACAGACTACGGTTTGCAACTGCACATGGGGACAAAGATCGTACTTTTTGGAGAAATGTCCTCTGGTCTGATGAAACAAAGATAGAACTGTTTGGCCATAATGACCATCGTTATGTTTGGAGGAAAAAGGTGGCGCTTGCAAGCCGAAGAACACCATCCCAACCGTGAAGCACGGGGGTGGCAGCATCATGCTGTGGGGGTGCTTTGCTGCAGGAGGGACTGGTGCACTTCACAAAATAGATGGCATCATGAGGAAGGAAAATGATGTGGATATATTGAAGCAACATCTCAAGTCAGGAAGTTAAAACTTGGTCGCAAATGGGTCTTCCAAATGGACAATGACCCCAAGCATACTTCCAAAGTTGTGGCAAAATGGCTTAAGGACAACAGTCAAGGTATTGGAGTGGCCATCACAAAGCCCTGACCTCAATCCTATAGAACATTTGAGAGCAGAACTGAAAAAGCGTGTGCGAGCAAGGAGGCCTACAAACCTGACTCAGTTACACCAGCTCTGTCAGGAGGGATGGGCCAAAATTCACCCAACTTATTGTGGGAAGCGTGTGGTAGGCTACCCGAAAAGTTTGAGCCAAGTTAAACAATTTAAAGGCAATGCTACCAAATACTAATTGAGTGTATGTAAACGTCTGACCCACTGGGAATGTGATGAAAGAAATAAAAGCTGAAATAAATAATTCTCTCTACTATTATTCTGACATTTCACATTCTTAAAATAAAGTGGTGATCCTAACTGAATTTTTACTGGATTAAATGTCAGGAATTGTGAAAAACGGATTTAAAATGTATTTGGCTAAGGTGAATGTAAACTTTCGAGTTCAACTGTACACTATCATTCAAAAGTTTGGACACACCTACTCATTCAAGGGTTTTTCTATATTTTTACTATTTTTTACATTGTAGAATAATAGTGAAGACATCAATATATACAGAAGATAGCCCTATTTGGTAAAAGACCAAGTACATATTATGGCAAGAACAGCTCAAATAAGCAAAGAGAAACGACAGTCCGTCATTACTTTAAGACATGAAGGACAATCAATATGGAAGATTTCAAGAACTTTGAAAGTCTTTTCATGTGTAGTTGCAAAAACCATGAAGCACTATGATGAAACTGGCTCTCATGAGGAAGCCACAGGAATGGAAGACCCAAAGTTACCTCTGTTGCAGAGGATAAGTTCATTTGAGTTACCAGCCTCAGAAATTGCAGCCCAAATAAATACTTAAAAGAGTTCAAGTTACAGACACATCTCAACATCAACTGTTCAGAGGAGACTGTGTGAATCAGGCCTTCATGGTCGAAGTTCTGCAAAGAAACCACTACTAACGGACACCAATAAGAAGAAGAGACCTGCTTGGGCCAAGAAACACGACCGGTGGAAATTTGTCCTTTGGTCTGGAGTCCAAATTGGAGATTTTTGGTTCCAACCGCCGTGTCTTTGTGAGACGCGGTGTGGGTGTACCGATGATCTCCACATGTGTAGTTCCCACAGTAAAGCATTGAGGAGGAAGTGTTATGGTGTGGGGGTGCTTTGCTGGTGACACTGTCTGTGATTTTATTTAGAATTCAAGGCACACTTAACCAGCATGGCTACCACAGCATTCTGCAGCGATACGCCATCCCATCTGGTTTGGGCTTAGTGGGACTATAATTTCTTTTTCAACAGGATAATGACCCAACACACCTCCAGACTGTGTAATGGCTATTTTACCAAGAAGGAGAGTGATGGAGTACTGCATCAGATGACCTGGCCTCCACAATCCCCCGACCTCAACCCAATTGAGATGGTTTGGGATGAGTCGGACGGCAGAGTGAAGGAAAAGCAGCCAACAAGTGCTCAATAAATGTGGGAACTCCTTCAAGACTGTTGGAAAAGCATTCCAGGTGAAGCTGGTTGAGAGAATGCCAAGAGTGTGCAAAGCTGTCATCAAGGCAAAGGGTGGCTATTTTGAAGAATCTCAAATATAAAATATATTTTGATTTGTTTAACACTTTTGTGGTTACTACATGATTCCATGTGTGTTATTTCATAGTTTTGATATCTTCACTATTATTCTACAATGTAGAAAATAGTAAAAATGAAGAAAAACCCTTGAATGAGTAGGTGTGTCCAAACTTTTGACTGGTACTCTATATATGTCACATTTAAATATGTATCCAGACCCTTTACTCTGTACTTTGTTGAAGCACCTTTGGCAGCGATTACAGCCTTAAGTCTTCTTGGGTATGACGCTACAAGCTTGGCACACCTTTATTTGGGGAGTTTCTCCCATTCTTCTCTGCAGATCCTCTCAAGCTCTGACAGGTTGGATGGGGAGCGTCGCTGCACAGCTATTTTCAGGTCTTTCCAGAGTTGCTCGATCGGGTTCAAGTCCGGGCTCTAGCTGGGCCACTCAAGGACATTCAGAGACTTGTTCCGAAGCCAATCCTGCATTGTCTTAGCTGTGTGCTTAGGGTCGTTGTCCTGCTGGAAGGTGAACCTTCGCCCCAGTCTGAAGTCCTGAGCGCTCTGGAGCAGGTTTTCATCAAGGATCTTTCTGTACTTTGCTCCGTTCATCTTTCCCTTGACCCTGACTAGTCTCCCAGTCCCTGCAGCTGAAAAACATCACCAGAGCATGATGCTGCTACCCCCATGCGTCACCGTAGGGATGGTGCCAGGTTTTCTTCAGACGTGACGCTTGGCATTCAGGCCGACAAGTTCAATCTTGGTTTCATCAGACCAGAGAATCTTGTTACTCATGGTCTGAGAGTCCTTTAGGTGCCTTTTGGCAAACTCCAAGCGGGCTGTCATGTGCCTGTTACTGAGGAGTGGCTTCCGTCTGGCCACTCTACCGTCAAGGTCTGATTGGTGGAGTGCTGCATAGATGGTTGTCCTTCTGGAAGGTTCTCCTATCTCCACAGAGGAACTCTGGCGCTCTGTCAGAGTGACCATCCGGTTCTTGGTCACCTCCCTGGCCATGGCCCTTCTCCCCCGATTTTTCAGTTTGGCGGCCAGGTCTTGGTAGTTCCAAACTTCTTTCATTTAAGAATGATGGAGGCCACTGTGTTCTTGGGGACCTTCAATGCTGCAAACATTTTTGGTACCCTTCTCCAGATCTGTGCCTCGACACAATCCTGTCTCGGAGCTCTACGGACAATTCCTTCGGTCTCATGGATCGGTTTTTGCTCTGACATGCACTGTCAGCTGTGGGATCTTATATAGACAGGTGTGTGCCTTTCCAAATCATGTCCAATCAATTTCATTTACCACAGGTGGACTCCAATCAAGTTGTAGAAACAGGATGCACCTGAGCTCAATTTCGAGTCTCATAGCAAAGGGTCTGAATACGTATGTAAATAAGGTATTTCTGTTGTTTTTATATTTAATACATTTGCAAAAATTTCAAATGACCTGTTTTTGCTTCGTCATTATGTGGTGTTGTGTGTAGATTGAGGATTTGTATTCATTTAATCCATTTTAGAATAAGGCTGTAACGTAACAAAGTGTGGGAGAAAGGGAAGGGGTCTGAATACCTTCTGAATGCACAGTATATATTGCGCTACATTTGACCATGGTCCAGGTCAAAAGTAGTTTACTATGAAGGGATTAGGGTGCCATTTCAGAGGAACTCATTGTCAATGTTCTCCCTTTTGGTTTCATAATATCTTAGTATTTATGATCTAGTGTATGACTGATGATGCGGTGTACAGTAAGTACTCTGTTATATGCAGGTTGATTATTTTGAAGGAAAACAGAGCTGACCACTAGATGGAGACCAAGTATTTTCTTGATTTTATTTTTTGCTTGGCCATGTCTCGCTCTCTGATATGCAGTGTAAATTCCTCTTGTATTTGCTCAGTTGATCCCCTCACAGTAGCCTACTTGAAACAGTGTCTAACTGAGGCCCTCTCCTCTAGAATCTGTCCGTCTGTCCTGAGGATGAGTCCATTATCATGTCCTCCTTCGTCAACACCATGACCTCCCTCGGCGTCAAACAAGGTATTCAACCTAACACGGCCTGCCACTCATATTACAGAAATCTAAAAAATAAACAGTTCCTCATTTAGACTGTTGTTGTTAACACAGTTCAATCCATCCTGTTGCTGTAAAGTAAATATTCCAGTTTAGGAAATGTCTACTTGATCATGCTTAGTTGTTTTTATCTAGCCATATTAGCCTTGAGCACTAAAAGCCATTGTCTGTTGTTTTGGTAATGGCTGAGTGATGAACACATGAAAGGAGGGAGGGCAGATGGCGAGCAGAGTAGAAGCCTGAGCGGCTCTCCACCTCTCCCCCCTGCTGCCCTCCCTCCTTCCTGTGTCATGGTGATCCCATATCTGAGTGAATTGTCTCTGTCGGTGTTACAGTGGAAGACGGGGACGTGTTTGATTTCAGGGGCATGAGGCTGGACTGGTTCAGATTGCAGGTAAGAAGCAATTCGGAAAATGAGACCAGCTTTGCGGCTGTGGCTGGGAGGCAGACGTGGGTTCAAATAGTATTTGAAATCCTTTCACAATACTTTATCTCTGCTCAATTGAGCTTGCCTGGTGCAATGGAACAAAAATAATAGTCTCAAAAGTGTCAAACCCAGCCCATCTGGCACTCCAGTCAGGCTAGAGCAAAGGCTTAAAGTATTTTGAACGTTTTTGAGTATTATTTTAACCCAGTTCTGGGCTGAGAGGCCACTGTGCTCTGTGTGTGTGTGTGTTGTAATTAGCACTCATAATTAGCCAGTAATGAGAGAGCAGTGTTTAGCATGCTACACTGCTCCAGTTAGCCTACTCCTGTCACACTGTTTCCTATCTATAGGCCACTGTGTGTGTGTGTGTGTGTGTGTGTGTGTGTGTGTGTGTGTGTGTGTGTGTGTGTGTGTGTGTGTGTGTGTGTGTGTGTGTGTGTGTGTGTGTGTGTGTGTGTGTGAGATGTGGGGGTAGGGGAACCGATATATAACTGCTATAGGATCAGTTTTGTCTTTTTGATTGTAATGAATTAGAGGGGGACCTGATCCTAGATCCGCACTCCTACTCTAAGACGCTTTGTGAATACAGGCCCAGAGCTCTGTTCTGTGTGAGAAGCCCCACCGCACATTAATTAATTTAACAGTAATAGAGAAAATCTGGCCTGAAATACTGTGAGGAAGAGGAGTACGCTCTGTCTGTCATTAGTGACAAATGTCTATACATAATAAAGACATCAGTTTAATTTTTTTATTCATGTTCATGATGGACATGTTATTGAAAAGTGATGAAAAATAAATGTCCATGCTCTCAGGGAAAATGACTTCTGGATATTGGAGGATAGATTCTGGGCCCCATTCCCTGACCATTTCTTAAAAATGAATTTAGGAATGAATGACAATAAATAATCTTCTTTGAAGCAGTATTTTTTTAAATCGTTGCATGCCTTTTATCCTGTCCCAAATAAATCACAACTCACCCCAGAAAAGAGAAATGGCATATTATTTTCAAGTGTGGTTGAGTTGAGCTCTCTCGCTCTCTTTCGCTCTCTCAATCACGCTTGACTCCTCAGTACTCTGCTGAGATCATCACAACCACCCCTGCTGCCAGGGACCCACATCACTCTCCCTGACCCGTTGGTCGGCTCGCCGTTTTGCTGCCTTCCGATTCGCCCAGCCCTCAACTCAGATGGATTTTTAGGATGCGTCCCAAATGGCGCCCTATTCACATTACTTTTGACCAGGGCCCTTTTGAGTTAGGTCTTTAGGCCCTGGTCAAAAGTAGTGCACTACATAGGGAATTGGGTGCCATTTGTGACGCACCGTCCCACTCAACTCCCTCTGAGATGTTGTTTGATCTTAGCTCAGGGTCTCGGCAAGAAATGCTTCAACTTGGAAAAGTTTCTCCGTTTAGTCGGCAGGCAAGGGGAAAAGAGAAAAGCTTCCATGCGTGGACTGTGGACTGTTTTCCCAACACAGCTGAACAACTATTTTCTCAAGTCTCATGGTTTTTCAACTGGCTGCTCTACACCCTTCATAGCCGGCCTCTTAACACTATGATAGCAAAAACAGAACTGCTCAGATTACAAGAAGCAGGATGTTGGTTTATTCACTGTGTTTTTGTGTTCAGTATGTACAAGAACAGCTGACAAATATATGAACAGCTATACTGTATATACGGTATATGCCTGTATCTACATATTCAGGTGCCACTGTGATCCCTAAAAATAGATGGTTGTAAATAAGAATATGTCAGCGAATAATCCGAATTCATCAAGATGGTCCTGAAAGCTTCATGTTTGGCTCAGAACCTAAACCTGTCTGTTCCACAAGCATCAAGAACACTGCTTCTAAAGGTTCTACCACATGTGCTCTCTTCTCCTCCGAGCTGCATGTCAACCACATAACCCACAAGCCATGTGAGCAGTTACAGAACTATGGCAGACACAGACCTTGTCATAAGCCATATCAATGTTCTTTCTATCTATCAAGTACTTTTCTTTATTTTCTTTAAATCTCTCATCGTTTTACTTTGGAAACTATTGTTGTTTGTCTGATCCATTAAGTGAACGTGTTGGATGAGAAACACAAGCTGCCATTACCACAGAAAGGTCATGTTAGTGATTGTAATCTAAACTGAGTCTTGCATCATGTCATGATATATCTCCAACTAGCAGATGTTGAGCCACAGTTGGACTGGATTGAGGGAAGAGAAACCCTAACCCTCTCTCTTTCTCTCCCTCTCTTTCTCTCTTGTCATGTCTCTTTTCTCCACGGTGCTGTTTTCCAATTCTTTTCTGACAATGGCACCGTGATCATCATGCAACAGCACTTTAACGTTTCGAAATAGGCCTTGAATTTCAATCATCTTTAAGTTTTGCCCTTGCCTAATTTTTCTATATGTTGTCCTTGCTCAGATGTTTGAACCATAGGTGGTTGTGTGAGTTTAGCACCTTCTAAATGTCTTTATGTGGCTGTGGTACCAGGTTGGCATCGAATGCTCTTTTAGTTGGCAGGCATTTAGAGATGTTGAAAATCAGCGGAACATGTTCGAGTTAACACTCTCGCTGCATTTTCTCACACTTGTGTAGCTCACGATCACTTCTTTCCTTGAAGGATTTCACGCTTTATTTTTGGACTCTCAGATTGATTCTCTAAGGCCTAGTTGTACCCTGGTAACGCAGATGTTTCACTGCTCTTGTTGTGTGTCCCAAATTACACCCTATTCCCTACATATTGCGCCATAGGGCTCTGGTCAAATGTAGTGCACTATGTGAATAGGGTGCCATTTGGGACGCAGTTTCAGAACTGTAGCCGTTTTCCTTCTGAAGATCTCGACGATCAAAGAAAGCAATGTCTTGAACTCTTCAGAGACACCAGAGAGAATCTGTTTTGCATACAGTCTTGGTTTGATACCATATGCTTTGGGAGGAAATTGTGTTGTTTGCCCATTGTCAGTATCAGCAGTATCAAGTTAACACGGACGTCTTCCCAGAAATCCTTCCTTGGATGTTTATTTGTTATTTTTGTATTTAACCTTTATTTAACTAGGCAAGTCAGTTAATTAAGAACAAATTCTTATTTACAATGACGGGCCTACCAAAAGGCAAAAGGCCTTGTGCGGGGACGGGGGCTGGGATAAAAAAATATAGGACAAAACACACATCACGACAAAAGAGACACCACAACACTACATAAAGAGAGACCTAAGACAACAGCATAGCATGGCAGAAACACATGACAACACAGCATGGTAGCAACACGACATGACAACAACATGGTAGCAACAGAATGATATGGTAACTCATCCAACCACACTTTTCCTTCCAGACTCCCACTGACTTCCAAATTCAAATCGGATCAGCCTTTTCTTTCATTCTTAGGAAAGAGGGAGTTTTTGGGAATGTGGCAAAGGAACGCTACTAATAGGAAAACTATTATTTGAAAGACTTCAAACTGCATGATACCAAAAATGTGTTGATTTTGATATATTTGACAAATAAAATAGATATAAAGCCGCTACAGCTGTAGACAACATTACATACATGAGTAAAGAATTGTGAACTGTTAATACGTTTTGTTTTCCCCTGGTTAGGCCTATACCAATAATGCCTTGTTTATCTCTTGGTTAGGCCTATACCAGCGTGTCCAAGGCTTCTCTGGGCATCGCAGACCACCGTGAACTGGGCAAGATGATGAATACCATTATATTCCACACCAAGATGGTGGATTCCCTGGTGGAGATGCTGGTGGAGACATCTGACCTCTCCATATTCTGGTAAGTAAACCTTGTCTGAGCTAGAACAGCCCAAAGGGCAGGAGCATATCTCCTGTTTCCGTAGCGTGAGGCAACTTGATGTACAAGTACACTCCCTGGACAAGATGCTAGTTTGTAGCAGGGCCTATTCTGGTAAGGGTCTACATTTCCATTTACCTCCATGTTCAGTTACACAGCCGTTTAAAACAGTAAAAGGTATTAGGTTATATAGACTCTCCATCTTCTGGATTCAGATTCCTATTTAGAAAAACTTTTTTTATTTAACCTTTTATTTAACCAGGAAAAACCCATTGAGACCCAGAGTCTCTTTTTCAAGGGAGACCTGGCCCAGAAGGCAGCAACAATCAATGCATTACAGAATTAAAACATACAACAATACAATACAATTCAACAACATGATCCAGCCTAAAATAAGCATTTACACTCCTCTGTAACAGAGTCTTCAATCAAAAAAAATGTATTCATTCAGTGGCACTAACATATATCTAGATGAAGCATGGATTGTAGACTATTCCATGCCTCTGGTGCACTAGACAAGAAGGCAGTCTTGCCTAATACTGTAAATGTCCTGGGGACTTTAAGTAGCAACCACCTAGCAGACCGGGTATGGTAACTGCTGGTGGTGAAGGAGACCAGACTACAGTAGCAACCACCTAGCAGACCGGGTATGGTAACTGCTGGTGGTGAAGGAGACCAGACTACAGTAGCAACCACCTAGCAGACCGGGTATGGTAACCGCTGGTGGTGAAGGAGACCAGACTACAGTAGCAACCACCTAGCAGACCGGGTATGGTAACTGCTGGTGGTGAAGGAGACCAGACTACAGTAGCAACCACCTAGCAGACCGGGTATGGTAACCGCTGGTGGTGAAGGAGACCAGACTACAGTAGCAACCACCTAGCAGACCGGGTATGGTAACTGCTGGTGGTGAAGGAGACCAGACTACAGTAGCAACCACCTAGCAGACCGGGTATGGTAACTGCTGGTGGTGAAGGAGACCAGACTACAGTAGCAACCACCTAGCAGACCGGGTATGGTAACCGCTGGTGGTGAAGGAGACCAGACTACAGTAGCAACCACCTAGCAGACCGGGTATGGTAACTGCTGGTGGTGAAGGAGACCAGACTACAGTAGCAACCACCTAGCAGACCGGGTATGGTAACCGCTGGTGGTGAAGGAGACCAGACTACAGTAGCAACCACCTAGCAGACCGGGTATGGTAACCGCTGGTGGTGAAGGAGACCAGACTACAGTAGCAACCACCTAGCAGACCGGGTATGGTAACTGCTGGTGGTGAAGGAGACCAGACTACAGTAGCAACCACCTAGCAAACCGGGTATGGTAACCGCTGGTGGTGAAGGAGACCAGACTACAGTAGCAACCACCTAGCAGACCGGGTATGGTAACCGCTGGTGGTGAAGGAGACCAGACTACAGTAGCAACCACCTAGCAGACCGGGTATGGTAACTGCTGGTGGTGAAGGAGACCAGACTACAGTAGCAACCACCTAGCAGACCGGGTATGGTAACTGCTGGTGGTGAAGGAGACCAGACTACAGAGGTAAAGAGGGAGTTTACCCAAAAGGGCTTTGTAGATGAACACATACAAATGTAGCTTTCTGTGCATATAAAGTGAGGTCCAACCCACCATTTGGGACAAGGTGCCAATGGTGGGTGAGTGACTTGGCATTTGTAATAAAAGCGCAAGAATACATGATTAACAGAGTCCAGTCTCTGTAAGACAGAGGAGGCTGCATGCATATACAACAGGTCACCATAATCAATTACAGAGAGAAAAGTGGCCTGAACAAGCTTCTTTCTAGCCATAAGTGGGAAGCAAGCTTTATTACGAAAAATAAAACCCCAATTTCAATATAAGTTTCCTCACAAGATTATCCATATGAACTTTAAAGGACAACTTGTCATCCAACTATATACCTAGGTATTTGTAGGATGACACTTTTTCAATGGATAAGCCACCAGATGTGACAATGCTAACCTTCTCTGGCTGAGTGTGAGCTCTGGTAAAGGTCATAAATATAGTTTTTTGTACATTCAAGACCGGTTTGAGACCATAAAGGGAGGCCTGCAGTGAATTAAAAGCAATCTGGAGCTCTTCAACAGCCTGAACCAGAGAAGGAGAACATTAATATATGACTATCAACTGCATATAGATACAACTTTGCTGGTTGCACCCCATTTCCCAAATCATTAATAAAAATTGAGAACAACACAGGAGCGAAAATGGAACCCTGGGGCACACCTCTATTAATCTCAAGAAAGCTAGACTTGTATTTGTCAGCATATACACATTGTGTTCTGTCAGAAAGATAGTTCCTAAACCAATTCACTGCCCCTTCACTGAGACCAATGTTACTGAGTCTAGCTAGCAACAATTCATGGTCAACTGAATCAAATGTCTTTGATAAATCAGCAAACAGAGCAGCACAATGTTGCTTTATTATCAAGTGCATTTATGATGTCATTTGCCACTGCCATAGCTGCAGTTGTGGTGCTGTGCCCCGATCTAAAGCCAGACTGAACCCCGCTCAGTATGTTATTTTCAATTAAGACTTTTTAAAACTTTGAGTTCACTAGGGATTCATAGACTTTGGCCAGGATAGGGAGTTTGGAGATAGGACGATCGTTATTAGCTGATTTCCAAATGCTGGGAATGGAATTGGTCAAGAGACTCAAGTTGAAAATGTGAGCCACAGGTTCAGTAATAATACCAGCTGCTATCTTTAAGAGGTAGAGATCCAGGTTGTCTGGACCTGAATACTTTTTAGTGTCTACTGCCTTTAGTGCTTTATAGACCTCAGCTTAGTTAAAATGGTTCACATGAGGGCCTATATCATAGTTTACTGTAACAGAGCTTACATTAGAGGCCTGGCCCCCACCATTATCAAAAACTGAACCAGCAGATATGAAGTGCTTGTTAAAAAACCCTACAATATTGGCTTTATCCTTCACTTCATTAGAATCCATCATTAAATGGTCAGGAAGGCCAGAGGATACATTAGAACCTGACACTGATTTGATTAGCTTCCAGAGAGTCACACAGTTCTTTAAAAGAGTCAGATGTAAGCATGTCCCACTTCAAATCTCCTAAAATAATGAATTCAGAGTTATTTAGAGCCATTGCTGGGCAATTTCATTGAAAAAGTAAAATACTAATAAAAACACATCAAATGTACATAAAAGTAAAAACAGCAACACCGGAAGACACAACATCAATACAAATAGATTGGATCAAAGGTGCAGTGTTCAAGTGGGAGATTTACCTCAGACTCCATATTCAGTTAAAACATAGTAAAAGGTAATAGGCTATATAGCCATCACTCATTCTCTAAAACCCCATGGTAACTGTCTGTTAGGGGTTTTGTTATGTTCTTTTTCTTTGTTCGGTAGAGACAGGACAGGAGAGGGTTGGACAGATTTAGATATGATTGTACCAGATGGATGTTTGACGAAGTTTGCAGCTCATGCTTTCCTCTTTCTATTCCTCTCCTCTCTTCCTCTCTCTCTCTCCCCTCTGATAGCTTTTACAGTCGTGCATTTGAGAAGATGTTCCAGCAGTGTTTGGAGCTACCCTCCCAGTCTCGTCACTCCATCTCCTTCCCTCTGCTCTGTACCCACTTCATGAGCTGCACCCATGAGCTCTGTCCTGAGGAGGTGAGTGTCCCATTGAGATATGATGTTACCACTGTCTCACAAAACATCACAGTAAGCATCACTAAGGTCTGGCGGGTCACTCTGAGATTTGTTAAACAAACTTATTTTCAACATAACTCATATTCAATTGATCAGGTCGCCCTTGCAGAATATGTTTTTAAAGTTCTTCCCTAGTTGAATGTCAAGAGGTACTTAAGGGTCTTTCCTAGTTTAAATAAACGAATACATAAAATACATGTAATGGCACCTGACATGTTTATGTATAATACATGTAATGTAAAGATTGACGTTTTTGTATGTTTTTTAGATGTCTTTCCAAGAGCTTTAATCTTAAGTAAAATCTATTGGTACAGTAGCAGCCTATTCCATTTGGACTCATCTCTCTCATTAGTTTTGTAGCTCTTAGGGGGACTGCTAGTCTCAGAGAAACAGGACATTTCACAGGATGTCTCACACAGGCTGGGAAAGTCTCCTTCAGCTCCGTCTCAGTGCTGCTTGGGCCCATGGCAGCATCCCAAATGGCACACTATTCCCTATATAGTGCACTACTTTTGACCACAGCTTTTGGCCAGACACCTATGGGCTCTGGTCAGAAGTAGCGAACTATATAGGGAATAGGGTGCCATTTGGGATATAGCCTATGTCTCCTTCCACAGCAGCAGGATGGAGTCATACAGAGAATCAGGAAAGTAACTGCACATTTTCTGGGGTTGTGGAATGTTGTGTAACGAAGCGTCCAGCGCTGTGGTCCGTGTACCCGGATGTGTACTGAGAAGTAAAGGGCTGAAAAGCATGATTTATTAAATCTGTAGTTGAACCATACACTGGTGCAGCTACCAGCTACTCCCAGGGGGGATGTGGAAGCCCTCCGCACACACAGCCTACACAACAGATTTCTGTTTCCCTCTCCGCTGAAATACGCCAGGCACATTCATGTTTGTTCCTGCCAAGCATGGAGCCCAATATCCATTTAGTTTGGTAAATAAGGCATATTTTCGCTCCTAATTGTTTGACAAACAGTACCAAAAGAAGTGACACAATGGGCGTTCTCATGTGGCCGAGCAGAGTGGTCAAAGGAGGGCCTTTTGCTTAGGAGCTGTCTGAGTGCACTTAGAGAAATAAAATAGATTTATTGAGCCAGAGAAGGATTGGATTTCACAAAAGTCCCTCTCTCAGCGTGTCTTCAAAATGTTCCCTCTTCCTATGTCCACTCCTCATAGCTTTAGGCAGCTGCAAACTTTATTTATGTTGGAAAAGCATTAAATGTTTCCAAGAATATTTCCATCTTGCACAGAACATTTTACAGTGGTTTATAGTAACAGTAAAAAGGTTGCGTCCCAAATGGCACCCTATTCCATATGTAGTGCACAATCTTTGACCAGGGCTTATCAGTGGTGTGAGTCTGACTCAAGTCACAAATTTGATGACTTGTGACTCGGCTTGATAGAAAATAGAATAACTTGAGACTTGACTTGGACTTGGAGCCTCAAGACTCAGAACTCGACTTTGACTTGAGACTGATGACTTAAAATTATCTGGGCAGGTTTTGTAACGACTTGTCACTCATTTTGTGGCACAGAGTCTCCGTGGATTGCTCTACACGCAGCCAGGGACCGTATCGTAATTGCAAAAAATAACTGATTGGCTAGTGAAACGCACACTAGGCCCTCTGATTGAACCAGCAAACTGTCAATCAACACAGGTTGGCTGAGCTAGCACAGTGAGAAGGTTTTGGGGGGGGGGGGGGGGTTGTGAGTGTGAAACTGAATGGGGAAAAATATATATTCTTCATACATATTTGAATAGGCCACATACAGTGGGGAGAACAAGTATTTGATATACTGCCGATTTTTGCAGGTTTTCCTACTTACAAAGCATGTAGAGGTCTGTAATTTTTATCATAGGTACACTTCAACTGTGAGAGACGGAATCTAAAACAAAAATCCAGAAAATCACATTGTATGATTTTTAAGTAATTAATTTGCATTTTATTGCATGACATAAGTATTTGATACATCAGAAAAGCAGAACTTAATATTTGGTACAGAAACCTTTGTTTGCAATTACAGAGATCATACGTTTCCTGTAGGTCTTGACCAGGTTTGCACACACTGCAGCAGGGATTTTGGCCCACTCCTCCATACAGACCTTCAGGTTTCGGGGCTGTCGCTGGGCAATACGGACTTTCAGCTCCCTCCAAAGATTTTCTATTGGGTTCAGGTCTGGAGACTGGCTAGGCCACTCCAGGACCTTGAGATGCTTCTTACGGAGCCACTCCTTAGTTGCCCTGGCTGTGTGTTTCGGGTCGTGGTCATGCTGGAAGACCCAGCCACGACCCATCTTCAATGCTCTTACTGAGGGAAGGAGGTTGTTGGCCAAAATCTCGCGATACATGGCCCCATCCATCCTCCCCTCAATACGGTGCAGTCGTCCTGTCCCCTTTGCAGAAAAGCATCCCCAAAGAATGATGTTTCCACCTCCATGGTTCACGGTTGGGATGGTGTTCTTGGGGTTGTACTCATCCTTTTTCTTCCTCCAAACACGGCGAGTGGAGTTTAGACCAAAAAGCTATATTTTTGTCTCATCAGACCACATGACCTTCTCCCATTCCTCCTCTGGATCATCCAGATGGTCATTGGCAAACTTCAGACGGGCCTGGAAATGCGCTGGCTTGAGCAGGGGGACCTTGCGTGCGCTGCAGGATTTTAATCCATGACGGCGTAGTGTGTTACTAATGGTTTTCTTTGAGACTGTGGTCCCAGCACTCTTCAGGTCATTGACCAGGTCCTGCCGTGTAGTTCTGGGCTGATCCCTCACCTTCCTCATGATCATTGATGCCCCACGAGGTGAGATCTTGCATGGAGCCCCAGACCGAGGGTGATTGACCGTCATCTTGAACTTCTTCCATTTTCTAATAATTGCACCAACAGTTGTTGCCTTCTCACCAAGCTGCTTGCCTATTGTCCTGTAGCCCATCCCAGCCTTGTGCAGGTCTACAATTTTATCCCTCATGTCCTTACACAGCTCTCTGTTCTTGGCCATTGTGGAGAGGTTGGAGTCTGTTTGATTGAGTGTGTGGACAGGTGTCTTTTATACAGGTAACGAGTTCAAACAGGTGCAGTTAATACAGGTAATGAGTGGAGAACAGGAGGGCTTCTTAAAGAAAAACTAACAGGTCTGTGAGAGCTGGAATTCTTACTGGTTGGTAGGTGATCAAATACTTATGTCATGCAATAAAATGCAAATTAATTACATAAAAATCATACAATGTGATTTTCTGGATTTTTGTTTTATATTCCGTCTCTCACAGTTGAAGTGTACCTATGATAAAAATTACAGACCTCTACATGCTTTGTAAGTAGGAAAACCTGCAAAATCGGCAGTGTATCAAATACTTGTTCTCCCCACTGTACATACCGTTTGTATTTTATATTTATACCTTTGCTTATTCGATCTGGTCACAAACGTTAGCCTACGGCATTGGACCAAATTCTTGTTTCAAAAACATCTAATCTGTGCTTCAGAACCAAAATGTTGTGCGTCTTAACTGTTGACCAGTCACCAGCATTGGCGCGCAAAGGCAGGCGCACATATCCAGATTAGTGACCAGAAAGCGCTTGTTTAATTTTCCCCCGATTTTTACCTGGCAAAAAGAGAGTAGCCTACCTACATTAATATTATCCATACAAAAGTACCGTTTAGCAATCTGCTACGGACACATATGTGCCACAACAATAGGCTACCTGGTGATTTCATTGATAATTTTCAAATTTCAGATAGGTCTAGTTTGGGTGGTTTATAATCGTATACCTCAATGGTGGTACTGGCTAAATGTCTAAAGATAGTTGTAACATCGCCCGTCAGGAAGTCCAGGATCCAGTTGCAGAGGGAGGTGTTTAGTCCCAGGATCCTTAGCTTAGTGATGAGCTTAGAGGGCACTATGGTGTTGAATGCTGAGCTGTAGTCAATGAATAGCATTCTCACGTAGGTGTTCCTCTTGTCCAGGTGGGAAAGGGCAGTGTGGAGTGCAATAGAGATTGTATCATCTGTGGATCTGTTGGGGCGGTATGCAAATTGGAGTGGGTCTAGGGTTTCTGGGATAATGCTGTTGATGTGAGCCATGACCAGCCTTTCAAAGCACTTCATGGCTACAGACGTCAATGCTACGGGTCGGTAGTCATTTAGGCAGGTTATCTTAGAGTCCTTGGGCACTGGGACTATGGTGGTCTGCTTGAAACATGTTGGTATTACAGACTCAGTCATGAAGAAAATGTCAGTGAAGACACTTGCCAGTTGGTCAGCACATGCTCGGAGTACACGTCCTGGTAATCCGTCTGGCCCTGCGGCCTTGTGAATGTTGACCTGCTTAAAAGTCTTACTCACATCGGCTACGGAGAGCGTGATCACATAGTCATCCGGAACAGCTGGTGCTCTCATGCATGCTTCAGTGTTGCTTGCCTCGAAGCGAGCATAGAAGTGGTTTAGCTCGTCTGGTAGGCTTGTGTCACTGGGCAGCTCGCGGCTGTGCTTCCCTTTGTAGTCTGTAATAGTTTTCAAGCCCTGCCACATCCGACGAGCGTCAGAGCCAGTGTAGTACGATTCAATCTTAGTCCTGTATTGACTCTTTGCCTGTTTGATGGTTCGTCGGAGGTCATAGCGGGATTTCTTATAAGCGTCCGGGTTAGAGTCCCGTTCCTTGAAAGCGGCAGCTCTACCCTTTAGCTCAGTGCGGATGTTTCCTGTAATCCATGGCTTCTGGTTGGGGTATGTACGTACGGTCACTGTGGGGACGACATCATCGATGCACTTATTGATGAAGCCAGTGACTGATGTGGTGTACTCCTCAATGCTGTCTGAAGAATCCCGGAACATGTTCCAGTCTGTGCTAGCAAAACAGTCCTGTAGCTTAGCATCTGCGTCATCTGACCACTTTTTTATTAACCGAGTCACTGGTGCTTCCTGCTTTAGTTTTTGCTTATAAGCAGGAATCAGGAGGATAG